CGACTGGTAGGCAAGACCTTGGACTTTTTGTACCCCTGTGATAAGTGTAAATTGACATGACTCCCACGGCCTAACATATAATTTTTTATCAGTGTAGACATGAGTCAGTGTGAATGAATTGTATTTATTTCCTCCTATAATGTCGGAGAGTACAGTGAATTCTGACATGAATACAAAATACACTGTACATGATTATGTACAAATCATATTACAATAGGAAAGAAAGTTAAGCATATGTATATATAATACATTGGGGCGTCACTGAATGGAATATGTATCATAGGTAGATCCTGCTCTGTAGGTTCCACGAACTAATGTTCCTGGCTACAATGTCAATGGGGGCGGTGGGGTAGCCGAATGTTTAAATCGTTGGCTCGTCACGCCGAGGACCCGGGTTTGAATCCCCACATGGGTACAATGTGTGAAGCCCATTTCTGGTGTCCCTGCCGTGATATTGCTGGAATATTGCTAAAAGCGTCGTAAAACCATACTCAGTCTGTACAATGTCAATGAACTGGGCCCACATGTCGATGTCCATCAGGGGTCCAAAAATCCCATCGCCCGATGCCCGGGACAAGTCAGTTTTCATTTTGGGCAATCAAATAATGGTATCTTACTTGTCCGTGGGCTACTAGATAATTTCTGCTTATGGTTTCAAACTGCAATAAACTTGGATTTAATTTCATATCTGCTCAAAATGTAGCTATTAAATTTTGCAATGGTAATAAAGTAGAGTTATCTTTCTTTGCTATTTATCACTTTCCAATAAATAGTCCAGTAAACATTAACATCAAATACCATGTTGATTTCTTCTTTCATAATTACATCATCATAATTATGTCATAAAATCAGAGCAAGTGGAAAATTAATCATGACAAGTTACTTTCTTAAAGTCACTTGCCCTGTGGCAAGAGGCTTTTTAAAAAAAATTTGAACCCCTGTCCATGTTGTCCACAATAGGGGTGATGCCACCAAGTAGAGTGATAACTCTCTATTACTGTTGCACTAAAAACGGTGAATTATGAAAATGTTTTCACACAAAATGGATATAAGACGTTTTGTACACACGGCTCAGTGTGAAGTGACTTCAACCTGATTGAGACCAACCTCTGCGTGTGGAGGATGAAAATGAAAAATAAATTATCAAAGCTACAATTCATGCGTTTCACTCTTCAAAATGTATTTTACAGCATTGTTAGAACCTTTTTTTCCATTCTGTTGTACGAATATAGGGTTGTATCCAACGACATCCAGCGTTAAAACTCCCGCCTGCCCGACCCTCCGGAACAGTCGACTTCATCTCGGGCGGTCAAATTTCCAAAGTAGCCTGTCAGCTGGTCTGGTAGACGTTTTTACACCTAACAGTAAATATTTCATAATAACAGACAGGTTTTCTTGTCGTCAGTTTGAGGTGTTTAAGGTATAATGTTAAACTATTTACGATTGGACAGTTCATTTTACAATAACCAATCACAGCACATGTACTTTCAGTTTACCTAAACTCAGTGTTAGCGATATGTTGTTCATTGCGATGCTTGCAAATAGTAAAGTATTCAGAAACCTCATTTTTGTTTTCATTGTTGGAAACCGGACAGTCAAGTTTGTTTCCGGACTGGTAATTTTATCAAAGTTACCAGTCAAGCTGTCTGGGTTGGAATTTTGGGAGTTTTAAACACTGCGACATCAGTAATTACATGAATAGCTGCGTAAATCAGGGTTATTGTGACACCTTTTTAATTCAAGAATTTGCTTGAAAAGACCATGAAGACAGGATACAGAAAAAGTATTTCAACGTACACGATGTATTTGTAGCATTCAGTCAGAAACTTTCCTTGTGCAAGAATCCCCTCCTTTTGTGTTGAATCTTTTGACTACTATAATAATAAAGCCAATCCCACATACCATCACACAGCCTGTTACAGCCAATCCCACATACCATCACACAACCTCTTACAGATCCTGTTGCAATCTCACACCTGACAGGTATGACATTTCAATATTCACGTCAATACATAATTAAATAACTTCTAATTTCAAAGTAAATATGTCAGAGGAATTCGTGTGTATTTCATGCGTTTTTCATTTAATATACACGTCATGTTTTTTTATTTACTTCCTATATGTATTTTTGGTGGGTCAGTGTCGTGATGTCTTGGTCATGTCAAATACTAAAGAGCAAATTTCAGAGACCTTGTGACCCTCTTGAATTTCAATTACAGATGTTGAATTCCAAGGACACGATGTTTAATTGACGACGCTTTCAAAAGTACAGTCAAGGGAGATCACTCCCAACTCATCATGTGGCACAACGTACCGCTAGAAAATCAAGATTTTTGTAATTTTGTACCTTGAAAACAGCCTTTGCTATGATACAGTTTCTCAGCCCCATCAGTTTTGGTAATAGACTTCATGTCTCACTTTTCTACAACTGAAAACCCGGAGTTGACGTGATCATGTTCAAAGTCGGTCCACTGTGGAGTTAATCCCATTATGTTATGAATGTACCATGTTTTAACGTGTTTTAGTTTCACTTGACAGCAATTACAGCAGTTAGAAAGGGTATTTGTACAGCAGTAAACCGTGAAATGTATTGGGAGGTGGCATTTTAAAGATTGTACAACCAGATTCTGTTGAAAATCTGTCATAGTTGGCATGGCATACCTTGCAATTATGGTTATTATTTAAAAGGAATATTGTTGGAAGTTTCATCAAACAAAACACTCACTTACAACACTAGTTAACTGGTATAGGTTAAATTATGTTTGATTAGCAGCAAGTACTTGATCGGTGGTCAGAGTGTGACTTCGTTGATGCTGTGTAATCATACCAGGTGTCGTGGGATACTGTGTAATCATACCAGGTGTTGCGGGATGCTGTGTAATCATACCCAGGTGTTGCAGGATGCTGTGCAATCATACCCAGGTGTTGGGGGATGCTGTGTAATCATACCCAGGTGTCGCAGGATGCTATGTAATCATACCCAGATGTCACGGGATGCTTTGTAATCCTACCCAGGTGTTGCAGGATGCTGTGCAATCATACCCAGGTGTTGGGGGATGCTGTGTAATCATACCCAGGTGTTGCAGGATGCTATGTAATCATACCCAGATGTCACGGGATGCTTTGTAATCCTACCCAGGTGTCGTGGGATGCTGTGTAATCCTACCAAGGTGTTGCAGGATGCTGTGCAATCATACCCAGGTGTTGGGGGATGCTGTGCAATCATACCCAGGTGTTGCAGGATGCTGTGTAATCATACCCAGGTGTTGGGGGATGCTGTGTAATCATACCCTGGTGTCGCAGGATGCTGTGCAATCATACCAGGTGTTGGGGGATGCTGTGTAATCATACCCAGATGTCGCGGGATGCTGTGCAATCATACCCAGGTGTTGGGGGATGCTGTGTAATCATACCCAGGTGTCGCGGGATGCTGTGCAATCATACCAGGTGTTGGGGGATGCTGTGTAATCATACCCAGGTGTCGCAGGATGCTGTGCAATCATACCCAGGTGTTGGGGGATGCTGTGTAATCATACCCAGGTGTCGCGGGATGCTGTGCAATCATACCAGGTGTTGCGGGATGCTGTGTAATCATACCCAGATGTCGCGGGATGCTGTGCAATCATACCCAGGTGTTGGGGGATGCTGTGTAATCATACCCAGATGTCAGCGGGATGCTGTGCAATCATACCAGGTGTTGCGGGATGCTGTGTAATCATACCCAGGTGTCGCAGGATGCTGTGCAATCATACCCAGGTGTTGGGGGATGCTGTGTAATCATACCCAGGTGTCGCAGGATGCTATGTAATCATACCCAGATGTCACGGGATGCTTTGTAATCCTACCCAGGTGTCGTGGGATGCTGTGCAATCATACCCAGGTGTTGGGGGATGCTGTGTAATCATACCCAGGTGTCGCAGGATGCTATGGAATCATACCCAGATGTCATGGGATGCTTTGTAATCCTACCCAGGTGTTGCAGGATGCTGTGCAATCATACCCAGGTGTTGGGGGATGCTGTGTAATCATACCCAGGTGTCGCAGGATGCTATGTAATCATACCCAGATGTCACGGGATGCTTTGTAATCCTACCCAGGTGTCGTGGGATGCTGTGTAATCCTACCAAGGTGTTGCAGGATGCTGTGCAATCATACCCAGGTGTTGGGGGATGCTGTGCAATCATACCCAGGTGTTGCAGGATGCTGTGTAATCATACCCAGGTGTCGCAGGATGCTATGTAATCGAACCCAGGTGTCGCGGGATGCTGTGTAATCATACCCAGATGTCACGGGATGCTTTGTAATCCTACCCAGGTGTCGTGGGATGCTGTGTAATCCTACCAAGGTGTTGCGGGATGCTGTGTAATCATACCAGTTGTTGCGGGATGCTTTGTAATCGAACCCAGGTGTCGTGGGATGCTGTGTAATCATACCAGGTGTTGCAGGATGCTGTGCAATCATACCGAGGTGTCACGGGATGCTGTGTAATCCTACCAAGGTGTTGCGGGATAGTGTGTAATCATACCCAGGTGTTGCGGGATGCTTTGTAATCGAACCCAGGTGTCGTGGGATGCTGTGTAATCATACCAGGTGTTGCAGGATGCTGTGCAATCATACCGAGGTGTCACGGGATGCTGTGTAATCATACCCAGGTGTTGCAGGATGCTGTGCAATCATACCCAGGTGTCACAGCATGCTGTGTCATCATACCCAGATGTTGCGGAATGCTGTGTAATCATACCAGGTGTTGCGGGATGCTGTGTAATCCTACCAGGTGTCGCGGGATGCTGTGTAATCATACCAGGTGTCGCGGGATGCTATGTAATCATACCAGGTGTCACGGGATGCTGTGTAATCATACCGAGGTGTTGTGGGATGCTGTGTAATCATACCCAGATGTCGCGGGATGCTGTGTAATCGTACCCATGTGTCACGGGATGCTGTGTAATCGTACCCAGGTGTTGCGGGATGCTGTTCAATCGTACCCAGGTGTTGCGGGATGCTGTGTTATCGTACCCAGGTGTCGCGGGATGCTGTGTTATCGTACCCAGGTGTCGTGGGATGCTGTGTAATCGTACCGAGGTGTCGCGGGATGCTGTGTAATCGTACCCAGGTGTCACGGGATGCTGTGTAATCATACCCAGATGTTGCGGGATGCTGTGTCAACGTACCCAGGTGTCGGAGGATGCTGTGTAATCGTACCCAGATGTCACGGGATGCTGTGTAATCATACCCAGGTGTTGCGGGATGCTGTGTCAACGTACCCAGGTGTCGGAGGATGCTGTGTAATCATACCCAGATGTTGCAGGATGCAGTGTAATCATACCGAGGTGTTGTGGGATGCTGTGTAATCATACCAGGTGTTGTGGGATGCAGTGTAATCATACCCATGTGTCGCAGGATGCTGTGTAATCGTACCCGGGTGTTGTGGGATGCAGTGTAATCATACCCAGATGTCGCGGGATGCTGTGTAATCGTACCCATGTGTCACGGGATGCTGTGTAATCATACCGAGGTGTTGCGGGATGCTGTGTAATCGTACCCATGTGTCGCAGGATGCTGTGTAATCGTACCCGGGTGTTGTGGGATGCAGTGTAATCATACCCAGATGTCGCGGGATGCTGTGTAATCGTACCCATGTGTCACGGGATGCTGTGTAATCATACCGAGGTGTTGCGGGATGCTGTGTAATCGTACCCAGATGTCGCGGGATGCTGTGTAATCGTACCCATGTGTCACGGGATGCTGTGTAATCGTACCCAGGTGTTGCGGGATGCTGTGTTATCGTACCCAGGTGTCGCGGGATGCTGTGTTATCGTACCCAGGTGTCGTGGGATGCTGTGTAATCGTACCGAGGTGTCGCGGGATGCAGTGTAATCGTACCCAGATGTCACGGGATGCTGTGTAATCATACCCAGGTGTTGCGGGATGCTGTGTCAACGTACCCAGGTGTCGGAGGATGCTGTGTAATCATACCCAGATGTCGCGGGATGTTGTGTAATCATACCAGGTGTTGTGGGATGCTGTGTAATCATACCCAGATGTCGCGGGATGCTGTGTAATCGTACCCATGTGTCGCAGGATGCTGTGTAATCGTACCCGGGTGTTGTGGGATGCAGTGTAATCGTACCCAAATGTTGCGGGATGCTGTGTAATCATACCCAGGTATTGCGGGATGCTGTGTAATCATACCCAGGTGTCGTGGGATGTTGCTCAGAGTGTGACTTGGTTGATGCTGTGTAATCATACCAGGTGTCATGGGATGCTGTGTAATCATACCCAGGTGTCGCGGGATGCTGTGTAATCATACCAGGTGTCATGGGATGCTGTGTAATCATACCGAGGTGTCGCGGGATGACAGGATGCTGTGTAATCATACCAGGTGTCGTGGGATGCTGTGTAATCATACCGAGGTGTCGCGGGATGCTGTGTAATCATATCCAGGTGTCGCGGGAAGTTGCTCAGAGTATGAATCACTTGAGTATTTACAAACTTCTGTCATATAACTGGACTATTGCTTATTGCAGTAACATACAAACATTGCACAATGTCGATGTCCATCAGGGGTCCAAAAATCCCATCGCCTGATGCCCGGGACAAGTCAGTTTTCATTTCGGGCAATCAAATAATGGTATCTTACTTGTCCGTGGGCTACTAGATAATTTCTGCTTATGGTTTCAAACTGCAATAAACTTGGATTTAATTTCATATCTGCTCAAAATGTAGCTATTAAATTTTGCAATGGTAATAAAGTAGAGTTATCTTTCTTTGCTATTTATCACTTTCCAATAAATAGTCCAGTAAACATTAACATCAAATACCATGTTGATTTCTTCTTTCATAATTACATCATCATAATTATGTCATAAAATCAGAGCAAGTGGAAAATTAATCATGACAAGTTACTTTCTTAAAGTCACTTGCCCTGTGGCAAGAGGCTTTTTAAAAAAAATTTGAACCCCTGTCCATGTTGTCCATGATAGGGGTGATGCCACCAAGTAGAGTGATAACTCTCTATTACTGTTGCACTAAAAACGGTGAATTATGAAAATGTTTTCACACAAAATGGATATAAGACGCTTTGTACACATCGGCTCAGTGTGAAGTGACTTCAACCTGATTGAGACCAACCTCTGCGTGTGGAGGATGAAAATGAAAATAAATTATCAAAGCTACAATTCATGCGTTTCACTCTTCAAAATGTATTTTACAGCATTGTTAGAACCTTTTTCCATTCTGTTGTAATGTAATATAGGGTTGTATCCAACGACATCCAGCGTTAAAACTCCCGCCTGCCGACCCTCGGAACAGTCTACTTCATCTCGGGCGGTCAAATTTCAAAAGTAGCCTGTCAGCTGGTCTGGTAGGCGTTTTACACCTAACAGTAAATATTTCATAATAACAGACAGGTTTTCTTGTCGTCAGTTTGAGGTGTTTAAGGTATAATGTTAAACTATTTCTGATTGGACAGTTCATTTTACAATAACCAATCACAGCACATGTACTTTCAGTTTACCTAAACTCAGTGTTAGCGATATATGTTGTTCATTGCGATGCTTGCAAATAGTAAAGTATTCAGAAACCTCATTTTTGTTTTCATTGTTGGAAACGGACAGTCAAGTTTGTTTCGGACTGGTAATTTTATCAAAGTTACCAGTCAAGCTGTCTGGGTTGGAATTTTGGGAGTTTTAAACACTGCGACATCAGTAATTACATGAATAGCTGCGTAAATCAGGGTTATTGTGACACCTTTTTAATTCAAGAATTTGCTTGAAAAGACCATGAAGACAGGATACAGAAAAAGTATTTCAACGTACACAATGTATTTGTAGCATTCAGTCAGAAACTTTCCTTGTGCAAGAATCCCCTCCTTTTGTGTTGAATCTTTTGACTACTATAATAATAAAGCCAATCCCACATACCATCACACAACCTGTTACAGCCAATCCCACATACCATCACACAACCTCTTACAGATCCTGTTGCAATCTCACACCTGACAGGTATGACATTTCAATATTCACGTCAATACATAATTAAATAACTTCTAATTTCAAAGTAAATATGTCAGAGGAATTAGTGTGTATTTCATCGTTTTCATTTAATATACGTCATGTTTTTTTTATTTACTTCCTATATGTATTTTGGTGGGTCAGTGTCGTGATGTCTTGGTCATGTCAAATACTAAAGAGCAAATTTCAGAGACCTTGTGACCCTCTTGAATTTCAATTACAGATGTTGAATTCCAAGGACACGATGTTTAATTGACGACGCTTTCAAAAGTACAGTCAAGGGAGATCACTCCCAACTCATCATGTGGCACAACGTACCACTAGAAAATCAAGATTTTTGTAATTTTGTACCTTGAAAACAGCCTTTGCTATGATACAGTTTCTCAGCCCCATCAGTTTTGGTAATAGACTTCATGTCTCACTTTTCTACAACTGAAAACCGGAGTTGACGGATCATGTTCAAAGTCGGTCCACTGTGGAGTTAATCCCATTATGTTATGAATGTACCATGTTTTAACGTGTTTTAGTTTCACTTGACAGCAATTACAGCAGTTAGAAAGGGTATTTGTACAGCAGTAAACCGTGAAATGTATTGGGAGGTGGCATTTTAAAGATTGTACAACCAGATTCTGTTGAAAATCTGTCATAGTTGGCATGGCATACCTTGCAATTATGGTTATTATTTAAAAGGAATATTGTTGGAAGTTTCATCAAACAAAACACTCACTTACAACACTAGTTAACTGGTATAGGTTAAATTATGTTTGATTAGCAGCAAGTACTTGATCGGTGGTCAGAGTGTGACTTCGTTGATGCTGTGTAATCATACCAGGTGTCGTGGGATACTGTGTAATCATACCAGGTGTTGCGGGATGCTGTGTAATCATACCCAGGTGTTGCAGGATGCTGTGCAATCATACCCAGGTGTTGGGGGATGCTGTGTAATCATACCCAGGTGTCGCAGGATGCTATGTAATCATACCCAGATGTCACGGGATGCTTTGTAATCCTACCCAGGTGTTGCAGGATGCTGTGCAATCATACCCAGGTGTTGGGGGATGCTGTGTAATCATACCCAGGTGTTGCAGGATGCTATGTAATCATACCCAGATGTCACGGGATGCTTTGTAATCCTACCCAGGTGTCGTGGGATGCTGTGTAATCCTACCAAGGTGTTGCAGGATGCTGTGCAATCATACCCAGGTGTTGGGGGATGCTGTGCAATCATACCCAGGTGTTGCAGGATGCTGTGTAATCATACCCAGGTGTTGGGGGATGCTGTGTAATCATACCCAGGTGTCGCAGGATGCTGTGCAATCATACCAGGTGTTGGGGGATGCTGTGTAATCATACCCAGATGTCGCGGGATGCTGTGCAATCATACCCAGGTGTTGGGGGATGCTGTGTAATCATACCCAGGTGTCGCGGGATGCTGTGCAATCATACCAGGTGTTAAAAGGGATGCTGTGTAATCATACCCAGGTGTCGCAGGATGCTGTGCAATCATACCCAGGTGTTGGGGGATGCTGTGTAATCATACCCAGGTGTCGGGATGCTGTGCAATCATACCAGGTGTTGCGGGATGCTGTGTAATCATACCCAGGTGTCGGGGGATGCTGTGCAATCATACCAGGTGTTGCGGGATGCTGTGTAATCATACCCAGGTGTCGCGGGATGCTGTGCAATCATACCCAGGTGTTGGGGGATGCTGTGTAATCATACCCAGGTGTCGCGAGGATGCTGATGTAATCATACCCAGATGTCACGGGATGCTTTGTAATCCTACCCAGGTGTCGTGGGATGCTGTGCAATCATACCCAGGTGTTGGGGGATGCTGTGTAATCATACCCAGGTGTCGCAGGATGCTATGTAATCATACCCAGATGTCACGGGATGCTTTGTAATCCTACCCAGGTGTTGCAGGATGCTGTGCAATCATACCCAGGTGTTGGGGGATGCTGTGTAATCATACCCAGGTGTCGCAGGATGCTATGTAATCATACCCAGATGTCACGGGATGCTTTGTAATCCTACCCAGGTGTCGAGTGGGATGCTGTGTAATCCTACCAAGGTGTTGCAGGATGCTGTGCAATCATACCCAGGTGTTGGGGGATGCTGTGCAATCATACCCAGGTGTTGCAGGATGCTGTGTAATCATACCCAGGTGTCGCAGGATGCTATGTGTCGAACCCAGGTGTCGCGGGATGCTGTGTAATCATACCCAGATGTCACGGGATGCTTTGTAATCCCTACCCAGGTGTGGGTGGGATGCTGTGTAATCCTACCAAGGTGTTGCGGGATGCTGTGTAATCATACCAGTTGTTGCGGGATGCTTTGTAATCAACCCAGGTGTCGTGGGATGCTGTGTAATCATACCAGGTGTTGCAGGATGCTGTGCAATCATACCGAGGTGTCACGGGATGCTGTGTAATCCTACCAAGGTGTTGCGGGATGCTGTGTAATCATACCCAGGTGTTGCGGGATGCTTTGTAATCGAACCCAGGTGTCGTGGGATGCTGTGTAATCATACCAGGTGTTGCAGGATGCTGTGCAATCATACCGAGGTGTCACGGGATGCTGTGTAATCATACCCAGGTGTTGCAGGATGCTGTGCAATCATACCCAGGTGTCACAGCATGCTGTGTCATCATACCCAGATGTTGCGGAATGCTGTGTAATCATACCAGGTGTTGCGGGATGCTGTGTAATCCTACCAGGTGTCGCGGGATGCTGTGTAATCCTACCAGGTGTCGCGGGATGCTATGTAATCATACCAGGTGTCACGGGATGCTGTGTAATCATACCGAGGTGTTGTGGGATGCTGTGTAATCATACCCAGATGTCGCGGGATGCTGTGTAATCGTACCCATGTGTCACGGGATGCTGTGTAATCGTACCCAGGTGTTGCGGGATGCTGTTCAATCGTACCCAGGTGTTGCGGGATGCTGTGTTATCGTACCCAGGTGTCGCGGGATGCTGTGTTATCGTACCCAGGTGTCGTGGGATGCTGTGTAATCGTACCGAGGTGTCGCGGGATGCTGTGTAATCGTACCCAGGTGTCACGGGATGCTGTGTAATCATACCCAGATGTTGCGGGATGCTGTGTCAACGTACCCAGGTGTCGCGGGATGCTGTGTAATCGTACCCATGTGTCACGGGATGCTGTGTAATCATACCGAGGTGTTGCGGGATGCTGTGTAATCTTACCCATGTGTCGCAGGATGCTGTGATATCGTACCCGGGTGTTGTGGGATGCAGTGTAATCATACCCAGATGTCGCGGGATGCTGTGTAATCGTACCCATGTGTCACGGGATGCTGTGTAATCATACCGAGGTGTTGCGGGATGCTGTGTAATCGTACCCAGATGTCGCGGGATGCTGTGTAATCGTACCCATGTGTCACGGGATGCTGTGTAATCGTACCCAGGTGTTGCGGGATGCTGTGTTATCGTACCCAGGTGTCGCGGGATGCTGTGTTATCGTACCCAGGTGTCGTGGGATGCTGTGTAATCGTACCGAGGTGTCGCGGGATGCTGTGTAATCGTACCCAGATGTCACGGGATGCTGTGTAATTATACCCAGGTGTTGCGGGATGCTGTGTCAACGTACCCAGGTGTCGGAGGATGCTGTGTAATCATACCCAGATGTCGCGGGATGTTGTGTAATCATACCAGGTGTTGTGGGATGCTGTGTAATCATACCCAGATGTCGCGGGATGTTGTGTAATCATACCAGGTGTTGCGGGATGCTGTGTAATCATACCCAGATGTCGCGGGATGCTGTGTGATCGTACCCATGTGTCGCAGGATGCTGTGTAATCGTACCCGGGTGTTGTGGGATGCAGTGTAATCGTACCCAAATGTTGCGGGATGCTGTGTAATCATACCCAGGTATTGCGGGATGCTGTGTAATCATACCCAGGTGTCGTGGGATGTTGCTCAGAGTGTGACTTGGTTGATGCTGTGTAATCATACCAGGTGTCATGGGATGCTGTGTAATCATACCCAGGTGTCGCAGGATGCTGTGTAATCATACCAGGTGTCATGGGATGCTGTGTAATCATACCGAGGTGTCGCGGGATGACAGGATGCTGTGTAATCATACCAGGTGTCGTGGGATGATGTGTAATCATACCGAGGTGTCGCGGGATGCTGTGTAATCATATCCAGGTGTCGCGGGAAGTTGCTCAGAGTATGAATCACTTGAGTATTTACAAACTTCTGTCATATAACTGGACTATTGCTTATTGCAGTAACATACAAACATTGCACAAATATTGCACAGATGTTGCACAACATTGAACAAACATTGCACAGACATTACACAAATATTGCATAGACATTGCACAGACATTACTCAAACATTGCACAGACATTGCAGATATTGCACAGACATTACTCTGACAGTGCACAAATATTGCAGACATTACACATATATTGCATAGACATTGCACAAACATTGCACAGACATTGCAAAAATATTGCTCAGACAGTAGTCAGACATTGCACAAATATTGCACAAACATTACTCAGACATTGCACAAATATTGCACAGACATTGCAAAAATATTGCACAGACATGGCATGAACATTGCACTAACATGACTAAAATATTATTTCAGCTGTGAGTCATTATGAAACTTGGCAGAGATTGATTGCAGTGTTTCCTTCCTTCACCATTGTTAGCTGGCTTGTCACTTAATACAGGAAACTATGCTATCGCAACATCAAATTCAGTTTCAAATTGAGACTCACAGTCGTTGTACCTGAATGTTATTCACTGCAAAGGTGTAAAAAGTTTGTTGATGTGAGAGATTGCAAGGATGGTTTACGTGAGTAGTCCAGCCAGATCTATCAGTAAAGTATTTTCCTCATTATTTTGTCATAAGGGTGTAGCCAAGTTGTTAAAGCATTTTTCTCTCAACTGAATCACAAGGTGAGAAGTACTTGCACATAGGGCTGCAACAAGTCACCTAGACCTCGATTCGATTCGATTCGATTCGATGTTGGACCCTCGACTCGATTCATACAAGCAGACACATCAGATTTCATTTATCTTTCAGAGTTTCTTAAACAAAACATATCATATAGAAAAACCTTTTCCAAGATTTGACTAGAAATCAGGAATTTAAGTGATGTAACCTTTACAAAGAAATAAACTATGATGTTTAAACACAAAACAACACTCAAATATCGAATCAGAATTGTGATAATGGTTATCAAAAATAGAAACTAAGATGTCATATTTGATTTGATGAGCGGAACCGAATCGTTACAGCCCTACTCGCACATAACTGAATCACAGGACTAAAACTACATGCCCTGTGCTGAATCACAGGATGAGCACTACACTCACCATGCTGAATCACAGGATGAGCACTACTCACCGTGCTGAATCACAGGATGAGCACTACACTCACTGTGCTGAATCACAGGATGAGCACTACACTCACTGTGCTGAATCACAGGATGAGCTCTACACTCACCGTGCTGAATCACAGGATGAGCACTACACTCAGCTGAATCACACTACACTCACCGTGCTGAATCACAGGATGAGCACTACACTCACCGTGCTGAATCACAGGATGAGCACTACACTCACCGTGCTGAATCAGGGGATGAGCACTACATTCACTGTGCTGAATAACAGAGTTTACCTAAGCAAAGCACTTTAGTTGCTTGGACACTGTGATATTGGAGGGTTGTTGTGTCCTGGGTCATGTGAGACTTTCTTCATTAGGTTGAAGTGTTGCAAGGTTAAGGAATGCAACAGTTTTCATGCACCAGGACATACATGATGTCAGATTATTGCCTGCTCACCGTTGTGCATGAAACTGATACACAGGAACACAGTGATGCCAACCACCCCGATTCTGGAAGAGTTACTCTGATTTTGGAGATGTTACTCCGATTTTCAAATACCAAATCCACTCTCCGATTTGTCAATAAATTATACTGCGATTTTTTTAGAAAATACAAATATGTTTATAAATTTAGAATGTTTGAAAGAATTTGAGTAAATAGCCATTTAAATATGTTCATTTGAGTTCTATAAGTATTAGCTGGTTAAGTATGTTCAGAAATTGCATATTTCCAAGCTAAATCTAAAGATTTTCATTGGGGACACCGCCAAGACTCCCATCGTCAAAAGGGGCCCGAACCCCCTCTCACGCTCACCCCCAACTGACAACTCCGGGCTCGGGAATTACTTTAAGCAAGGCATGACTCTGCTTTCATCTGATTCAGGGTTCGGCATCTCTGAGGAACATGTTGACTTTGATTGATTTGTGGAAAGAACTGATTGACAAATACTACTGGTGCAAATGTACCCGAAGTCAAAAGCACTACTGTTGTAACTGGAGAGCCATTGTGTAATATCATTATATCTTTGCTTACGGAGAAAGTACACTAGTCTCTCACTGTAACCAGGACACAGTACTAATACTGTACACGTGGCCTACACTTCCGAGAAATAAAACTAAGGACAAATTTGAGCATTCTTGGAAAGCTTTACACCTGACTACCTGCACCAGTCAATATCCTGTTGCATATCAAGGTTGCATGTCAATGTCTTCCTGTTTGAGCTGACTGGTATCTTGAAGGAGACTGTATGGCTGGTGGATACGTAAGTGTTTGCACTGGGCAAAATGTGCATATGCCTGTTTAGGAGCATTTAACAGAATGCATGAAGAATATGGATTTATATACAAGTGCGGTTCCTGCAAATGATGAACATCCCAGATTATGACTGTTCCTGGCAAAGCTGGTTGGTTTCGTGACTTCCACGGGATCTGATTGTGAGTGGTGCTGATGCTGCTCTGTGTCTTTGTAACCTGACAGTGTTGATCAGTGGTCATGATATCGATCACTGGATTGTCTGACTGACAGACAGGAATATTTACAGACCACCATCATATGAGTGGAATATTCTTAAGTGATGCTTAACTGACCAACCAAAAACAAATGACCAAACCCACTAATGGATACAAGCGTGCATAAATAAATAAACTGCATGTGTTTTGCAACAAAGAATTATTCTTGAGCGAATGTAGAGTTAACACATGCATGTGTGTTTTTGTCAAGCGTGAAAAAATAAGTTTTGAACAGTGTGCATTATGAATCTGAAATACTGAACAGGAGACAGACAAAGCGCATTTACTGTTTGACTGAGATATAATATGGAAAGTACAAGTAGAAGGATTTGTATTTTGGATACCTTTCAAGCCAACCAGAATTTACTGAAGGTGAGACTTTTGGTTGACTATTGAATGCTAAGGATTTTTCAACTTGCAGTTTGTTGGTCATCATAAGTCCCAATACCTAATGTTGGTGAAAATATGTCTACTGTCTTGACTGATTGTGAGTTGTCTTACTGTGGCATCCTGGTATGTTGATCATGTTGTTGACACGAGCTAGATATTACTTTACATGCATCACCTTGCAGTATTCTGGACCATCATTAGGTCCCAATACGGATACTGGTCAGCAAATGTCTACTGATGATGTCTTGTCTGATTGTGTCGTTTACCTCAATGCCCTGAGACATTGATCATGCTTGTTAGCCGCGAGGTAGATCAGTTTATGCATTGCTACTGATGCATGTGACAATAGAATTGTCTGAATGATGGGACCAAAGATCAGGCTATTTTCTATCTCCCATCCCAAGCGCCGGTTGCAGCATCTCTTGGCTGTTCCCTAGAAATCATTTTGCTGTTGACTTGTTACTTCCGTCTCAGTCTATATTAATCAGAGTGGTAACATCAAAATTTCCTGCTTCTAGATGCAACAAAACAGGGACAGTAGACTTAATCAGAAAGTATAATAAATATGGTGTAAATAAATGTGTTTGTGCAACCACTGTATGTCTAATTCAAGATACAGCTACATGAATCATGATTAGTACTGTCAATGATAGTTATCCATCATATCTAAAGGGGGTCTCCTCGTTTTGCCACCACCCTATTGTTAAGGGGTGGCCAGAAGCAGTCATGCATGTTGATTGGAAGAAGAATAGGAGGTGGAGGGTCATCTCAAGTATTTAATGCATTTACACAAATTACATGAAATTTTAATACAGTACAAAATAAGAAATATAACAATGTTAAAAAAATATATTACACAGGTTCTTAATTGCACAAGATTTGCATAGTATTTTTAATGCATTTACACAAATTACATGAACTATTAATACAGTGCAAAATAAGAATATTAAGAAATTATTACACAGATTACACACTTTCACAGTTATAAATAATTAAAGTCCAATGAGGTGAGATACCGAATTGGTATACTCCACTTGCCTCTTGATGTTGGCGATGAGGTCGTCTTTCTCATGTTGACGGCAGTCGTCTAGTTGTCCATACTTCTTTTTTCGAGGAGGCATGTGTCCACCTGACAAGATCTGGCCAATGATGATTTCAGTGTGGGCTTGTTCTCTCTGCAGAATGTTAATAAACTTAAACAGGTTTGGATGAGGATGCCCACTCTTGTTCATCTTTGCATGCCAGCCTTCCACATGATTCGTTGTTCTGGCACCACTGGTGTTGAAGTGGTTCCATGTGGATGTGCAAGCATTCTCTACCCACTGTTCGGTCGCGTTCTCTTAACTCTATACTTAAAACCTTGAAATACTAGACTACGGCCACCACGACTGTTACAAATGAACTCTATTAATCTCTGGGGTTAATCTCCTGATGTTGATGGCTTCTAGTATTTTCCGTTTTGCTTGTCGAGAACAGTACTAGACAAGATGCTAGTCTGTTGCCAGTCAATGGAGTGGGTGGGGTTGTTGATTATATGCTCTGAAAGGGCTGATTTGTGGTCGGCTTTTACAGCAGATGTTTTGTGTTCTTTGAGTCTTATATCAAAGGGGTGTGATATCTCTCCAATGTAGCTACTGCCACAGTGGCAGTTTAATAAAAGTATCTCAAGAAAGAGCCCCAGTATACTATATGCATGTAGTTTGCTAGCAAAGTAATGTTTCCTAAAATATAAAGTCTTGAGGCAGGTCAAAGTGAAATGAAAAGTAAATAAGATTTACTACAACAGAATATTGTATTTTCTGTTCCTTAGAATTTCAAACATATTGTCCTAATTCCCTAAAACAAAATAGACTTGTTTTTGTGTAGGATATGATAGAGTTATAGGAATCAGGTGATAAGAATACTGCCCTTCAAAGTTTAGACTCACTTAAAGCACTCACTATCACGTTATGTATATATATGTGGTTACATCGAAGATGAATTTCTCCACTAACTTGAGGTGGAACCAACTGCAAATTTTATGCAGATGAATTGCATGAGGATCAAGCATCAAATTGCTGAAAAGCATGTGCAAATATCCTGTATGTGAACAGCTGCGTTTTGGTGTAAAGTTTTGCTCTGAAATCATAAATTTTCACTGAGTTTCATCATTTATTGAATTCATGACAATAATCTTTTCAACGTTATGAATTTGGTTTACAGTACTTCAGTTCATGTGTAAACAGTGCCTTTAAACAGTATGGAATATTTTGCAAAATCTAGTTTAGAACAGTTGACTGAAGTAAGTGGCTACATTTATACTAGTGAGTCTAAAGTTTTGATGGGTAGTATATTATCCAAAGAGCTCAGCAAATAGAGTGGTCATCAAAAGATTAGCGCTGAAGAACATATCTTTTACATACCAGGTTCAGTCTACTTTATCTGAAGGAAGGCTCTCTGGCTTACTATGGACGTCGTCTTCTTCGGACAGCTCAGAGGATAAATCCACCTAAGAGGAAGAAATTATTGTTAGAGCAGGGTTAATGACAAGTGTCTGTCATTCATAGCATTCTCATAAGTATGTTTTAAGTTTCAAAGGATATTTGCCATACAATTTTAAATGTTTGCTGCTCGTCTGGTGGAGAAATTTCCTGAGGTTGAAGAATGTCGTGAATGGGTTCATACTTCAGAAGCAGGTAGAGAGAGAAGATCAGTCTTACCTGTGAGCTTGCTGTTTCAGAAGCAGGTAGAGGAAGAAGATCAGTCTTACCTGTCGGCTTGCTTCTTCAGAAGCTGCAGATGAAGTCAGATCAGACTCAGCGCAGGCCAAAGGAGGTTGTGTGGAGGTGTCGTGAGGACCATTGCTGGATGAGGAGTTTGGATTGTGGACATCTTTGTCTGTTTCCCTTGCTTCATTTGTCCATGGTGTCAGGCCTTCAGGGCTGCTTCTGTCTGACACAGGTGTCTGGAGTCTGGAGGATGCAGCTTTACCCAGTCTGTCAGGTCCTCCAGGTTTGGTCTTGAGAATCTGTACTTCAGCCTGAGCAGCCACAACAGGAGGCATATGAGTGAAGGTCCTGCCACTGACTGGGTTGTCTTTCCAGGCAGCAGTAGGACCTTGCTTGGGATATTCCTTTTCAACAGCATCGTCCAGACTTAAGGTATGTATAAGCTTGTCTCTGGATTGCTGCAAAGAGTGAGATGTGTCTGAAGCAACGATACCTTCAGCTCCTGCCTCTTCCATCAAGCCAGTTGGAGGTAGAGGAGGTTGTGTGTCTGAGGTCTTTTTTGTCCTCTGAATGTAGAACTAAAGCTGATGGACCTGAGTTATCTCTGGGTTCTGTAGTTTGGCTAGGTGGATCCTTTTCGATGTTCACCTTAAGCACTCTGTGGCTACTGATGCTGTTGAATGGACAGGGCTGTCCAAATGGGGACTTGTGTTGCTCGTTGGAACATGCATGGTGGGACTGAAGCTGCTGCAAGAATCTGACGTAGGCTGTGAAGCTGGGGGTTTGATGAGTTGGGATGGGCTGTTGTTCTGGTCTAAAACAGCCAGTGCTGAAGTAGCTGACTTGTTGATTGGAGTCAGCGGACTGGTTGTTTCAGTTGGCCTTGTTTTAGGACTGGGCATCACGGATGTGCCAAGTATGGCCCTCTCTCCATCAGCATCATCATCATCATCATCAAGAAGAGGAGGAACACTGGAGGAGTTGGATGGTGGAGTTACTGCAGCATCTGTAGTTGATGCAGCTGGAGTGTTGCTTCCTTGGCTCAGTCCATCTGCTTCAGCATCACAACCAGAATGGTCAACCATCACACCTGTGCTTGGTCTTGATTCACTGGCTTGTTCTCCCTTTCTGATTCTCAGCCTCAAGCCCATATCGTGGATGACACCTGTTTCATTCTGCACGGGTTGGTTATTTTCTGTTTCAGATTCCCTTTTATTTTCATTTTCATTTTCTTCTTCCGAGTTTCTTCTATGGAAAAACCTGTAAATCAGCTGCAGGAACTTGAATCGTCTTTCCCTTAAAGTTCTCCAGTGACAGAACCTATCAAGGTACTCCCCGCACTCCTGTGAAAACTTGTCCTTGTTGTAGTTTTCAGAAGGCTCGTCTTCCCCTGAACAAATCCAGAAGTAAAGATATTTGCATGTGATTGAAATGACTGTCTTGGAAATTAACATGGCATTGAATATCTTACTGTTAATTTGTTTGATTAGGTGCTGCAAGTAGATTATGAAACAATGAAAGCATTATCATGGCCAGGGCCCACTTGCACAGAGCAGTCTTAGTTACAATCAATCTTAGGCTCCTACAATCAACTTTACAATCACCATACAATTGCCCTAATCCACTTGCACAAAGCCGATCTTAGAAGCGATTGTAAGGCGGCATGTATTTAAGATCGCATCTAAAAAAATACATTAATATATTTGGGTATAGATTTAGTGACTTAATAATTATGAAAATTAAAACATCAAATAGAAACAATATTTTATTTCCTTAACACCTAGAGCTATATTAGCCAATGGTTCTTGTTCAGGGTTTTGGTAGAAGTGACTATCCTAAATATATCCTAGAAGGATAGTTTTCTTACAAAAAGAAAATGTGATATTGCTACAGAAGTGTTGTAAAGAATGCATGACAGGGGAATGCGAATATTAAATAATATTTCGAGAGAGCAGTTGTTAAATACTTATTCACAGTATATTAATGATATAACCCTATTGCGTTGATAAATAATTTTAATGCCTCAGCATGTGTATATCCCTATTTCATTAATAAATAGTATATATTTAAAATGCGTACTCAATTTCAGATTTATGGATGAGAAAGAAACTTCATTTTGCAAGTTAACATGCATCTAATTGTAGATTACTTTCAAGATAAACGTAAGACAAAATTACTCCATGACCATAAAGAAATATATATTTCATGAGCTCGGAGATTGGGCATGACAGACTACAGCAACGGCATATGCCAAGGGAAACCACTCCCACCTTGCGTATAAACTAAAATTATCTGCTCTTGAGTTAATGAAAAGGTCACGGCCATTGTTGATCGCACGCGGACACCATTCGCTAGTATCCTTTCCTTGATTATCAAAAAGGTATGTTGTTGCACCCTTTTCCAGCATTGAATCGGGTGGGAATAGTACTTTGTGATATCGACTCGATAGTTCTGTGGTTCACTACAGTAAATAACAATGTATCCGACGTTAACTTGGTTGTCCATTCTCCGTGTTGTTGAAGTGTCGAGGCAAACCACAGAGTTTTATGCAATATAAAAGCAGTCTCCAAACATAAAGCTGATTATCTGCGTGAAACAGACACTATCGTGAAGGCCATTTTGTCACAGACTACAATGATCTTAGCTCCTTACAAATGGTCCGGAGCTATTGTAAGTTTCAATTGTAACTTACAATGGTCTTAGCCTACAATCGCTTTGGATGGCGATTGTAGCCGAAGCCTAAGATCGTGATCTTAAGGATTTATAATAATTGTAGCGCTAAGAACATTCTGTGCAAGTGAGCCCTGGTGTCTTTCATTTAACTAGGGGCAGTGAGGTGGCGTAGTGGTTAAAGCAGTCGCTAATCATGCCTAAGACCAGGTTTGATTCCCCACATAAGTACAATGTGTGTAGCCTATTTCTGGTGTCCCCCGCTGTGATGTTGCTAGAATATTGCTAAAAGCGGCGTAAAACCATACTCGCTCATTTCACTATGTTGATTGATCAAGTCAAGGTATCTGTATTTGTACAACATGCCCACATGTCCTCAGAGGAGAGTGCTGCCCTCGGTGTTTCCACCTCTACTTGGTATTTTGAAATAAGATGATCTTACAATACATAGTGGACAAAAATAGTTAGGGATATATGTAAATTATGAATAATGATCTATGTATTCATTGACACAAGGAGAAAATAGCACCATAAAAATACCAATATCCCTAACATATTTTGTCCAGTAGACAATACCCCCAGTATCATCCCACTTCTTAGATAATGTTGAAAGTAGGATTAAATCAAATGTTTTGGAAGAAGTGTTAGCAGACAACCCTCATCCTGCATATAGTTAGTAAACTGATGTTGTAAAGGTCCAGCCCACCTTTGGTCATCAGCTACTCATGCTTGTAACAGGCGACTTCAGTGGTTATACTTTCATAAACTGATGCTCATGACGTCAATCACTGGATTGTCAGGTCAAGACATGACTATTTAAAGACTTCCGTCATATTGGTGTTATAATGCTGTTTGCAGCATCAAACAAGCAAGCAAACAAACAAATAAACAAACAAATAAATAAACAAACCTGATTCTTGACAGCATCTGAAACAGAGGTTCCAGGCTGCAGCAACACACAGGAGACATTTTGTAAGGAAATCACGTAATTTGCCAAGATTGATGATCAATCGATTTGGTGCCTGTTCTCCGTCCATATTTCTGCTCCAGGAAAAAAAAGGAGAGTAAAATTATGGATTACATTTGAAAATCTATAAAATATTTTCTGAATATTTTTGTATTGCAGAGTCTGAAAAATATCTTTTTGGGGGGATGATGTTATAAAATGGTGCAAAAAACAAACATTCCACAAATATTTAGTAATCACTACTTTTTGTGTTCAATATATTACAAATAATACTAAAGAAAGTAGGAATTGCTTTTCAAAATTAAATCGCATATCATCTCCTCATTTGTATATTCATTTCCCTACTTATCTGACCTTACTTGCCTGCTTATCTGTTTGAAAGATCAAGTTTTGGTATCAGATTGGTTTGTATGATAGATAAATAGAGAATACTACACGAGGTCTCATTAGAAACGAATTATACGAAACGAGTGTCCTTCCTATGGTATCTGACCGAGCGAAAGCGAGGATATCATAGGAAGGTCACTCGTTTCGTATAATTTGTATGTAATGAGACCGAGTGTGGTATTTGATTTATTACCCACATATTACATGCATTAAATTGACAAAATAGCGTATTTTTGTTATGTTTTTGGTTTCAACTGAAACCGGTTTCATAAAGAAGTTGCGGAAGAGTTTTGAACTGTAGTACAATATTTGCATGACGTCACACTGTAATGACGTCACTGCCTTGGTAACGGTCGTCACGATGTATGTCAGTTGTCATCGCCTCGTACAGCCTCCTACAGTAAACTACCCCGTTGCACCTCGTTTCTTGGTTTGCAGTTGCTTCATTCGGCTAACATCACTGGTGGAAACAGTGCGTTTATGTTTTTCGACGTATATAATGTCCCAGTTCGACTCACAATTAAACAGCAACACGGCAACGTTAGCAATGTTTTACATTCCCACAATGAATTTAAGTTGTAGAATGAATGAATTCATGTGTTTGTTATGAATGAAAAAATAGTTACGTCAGAATGTGACCTAATTGTGAGGTCATCGGTTATCCAATCAAATCGTTAGAATCTCAGGTCATGTTGTTACGACATAGGTCAACGCTATACGACACTCGTGTGACGTACGAGATTGTGTATGCAACTACCCATACATTGACCACGTGGGTAATAAACATAAATATAAAACATTACTATCCTCAGAAACAAAACTGTTTAGTTAAAAGGGAAAAACGGCTGTGAAAATGATACGACTGGAACAGGGAGGGTCAGCAATAATAATAGATGAAAGGGGTAAGCATGTTCCACCCTACCTGTAGCACACGCCATTCACAAAATGTGCCTAAATATGAAAGTATTTTTTCTTGATGCTGTACAGCACTACTCCTGCCATGCAAGTGTGTCTCGTACACAAACCAGACAATCAAGTGATCAATAGACCAGAAAATCTGGTTAAATAACTTATAAATAAATAAATTACAACTGCAGTGTAGAAGTACACTATCAGTGATCAGATCTAAGACGTCTGCTGCCCACATTAATCTGAGACTTCCTGATAAATTGAAATATTATTCAAAACGGAATTGACCCCAGCCACTTAGTTGTTGAGATTGATACGCGAAGGTGAAGACTTAAACCAACAAAAACTGCCAGAGCTGCTTATTGAGTATGCTACGGTAAAACCTTTCTATTTGTAATCATATACTAGTGCCAATTAAATCTTTAGCTGTACATGTATCCACATTGAGTATGGACAGAATATCAACCATTTTCAGGCTTGTTAGTATACTTGTAAGTTCATTGGTTTAAGGAGTTTTTCTACTGACGAGTGAAAGTGAAAATAAAGTGAAGTTTTTCCATGTTGGAGACAAACCTGCCGTGAAAACATTCTTTGTGGTTGACATTGCAATCTGTTAGTGACATGTCAAAATGTTTCAACATTTAACTCACATGATGGATGTTTTGGTGATCTTTGTGAAGCCCTGTTGTTACTGTTTGATCACTCAGTCATAATTCCCCAGCTGGGGAATACCCTAAAGTACTATTTTCCTGAAAACTGTAGGCGTGTAAGTCAATTGGCTATGTTATGTTTCATGAAATGCAATTGTAAAGATTTTTTTTTTGACTGGTGGGGTAAGGTGTTGACTTGTGAGGTAAGGTGTTGTTGGAGGGGGTAAGATGTTGGTAGTTGTGGTAAGGTGTTGTTGGAGGGGGTAAGATGTTGTTAGTTGTGGTAAGGTGTTGTTGGAGGGGGTAAGATGTTGTTAGTTGTGGTAAGGTGTTGTTGGAGGGGGTAAGATGTTGGTAGTTGTGGTAAGGTGATGTGCTGGAGGGTGAGATGTAGGTAGTTGTGGTAAGGTGTTGTTGGAGGGGGTAAGATGTTGGTAGTTGTGGTAAGGTGTTGTTGGAGGGGGTAATATGTTGGTAGTTGTGGTAAGGTGTTGTTGGAGGGGGTAAGATGTTGGTAGTTGTGGTAAGGTGTTGTTGGAGGGGGGATGTAATCATTGGAAGGCAGGTGTCTGCCTAAGAGCCTTTTTAGTATAAAAGATTTGCACCAGGGTGTGAAACTATCTTCACATTTTTCATCACCAACCAGGAAGTGATAAGACTGATTCGAAATAAAACCTTGACATGAGATATGCAGTCAGGGAGTGAACTCTGCCCTATCTGTACAAAGAACTGTACTTTGTGTCAAAGTCTGACCTAAATTATAAATGTATACCTTGTTGTGACTCCTTGACATATCTGAATGCTTTCGGGCGGTGGGGTAGCCTAATGGTTAAAGCGTTGGCTCGTCACGCTGAAGACCCGGGTTCGAATCCCCACATGGGTACAATGTGTGAAACTCATTTCTGGTTTCCCCCCGCCGTGATGTTGCTGGAATATTGCTAAAACCAAACTCAGTCAGTCAGTCAGTCTGAATGCTTTCCCTTATTACATGTACATGCATATACCTGTCTTATCCCCAACTCGGTGAATCATCTCAATGAAAGTTGAAAGTTGAAAGTTTGGTTTGCTTACATACAGCTCTTAAATTACGTAGTGAACTTGAGAACAAACCTGAGTCAGGATTATTAAAAACCTCTAATACAGGCAGGTTTAGGTTGGCTATGTGAACATTGATTATCTCAATTTGATACCAATGTTTGTTTCAATGTTTTAGATTGAATGAAAATGTTAATTTGTTTGATAACTTTGTGCATTATGTAAGTATGTGTTGGGTAAGTAGTATCAGACTTATCTTCAGAGCTTGTGACTTAGTAAAGGGAAATATTACATGTGGTGTTTGAAATCCATTGCTGTTTTATTTCAGCAGACATTATACATGTATAGACGAATTTGTAAAGACATGGAAGATTTAACGCATACATACATACATACATACATACTAACATTTGTATAGCGCCGATATCCATCTCAGCTCAGCTGCTCAAAGGCGCTTTGTTTTTCCCTCGTTCACTGGATGTCAATCTCAACGGCACATCGTATTGTCAATCTCAACTCCCTGGGGGAGCATACAACTCTTGCAGCCACTAGGTGCACCGAGTTAATGGGGCATTCCATCCTTACGAGGTACCCATTCACAGCTGGGTGGACTGGGACACATAGTCACAGTACTTTGTCCAAGTTTACTGCACGTTGCTGTACCCGCAACTGGGTGTTTGCACGTATTCATGTGGCCACCATCTGGTCATATACTAACGGATTCGTGGGTTCTTTTAAGTGCACAGGGTTGTGTACTGTACATGATGGGCCAACAGCAAAGAATTGCTGGAATATTGCTAAAAGCAGCGTAAAACTAATCTCACTCAGTCATATTGCTATAAGTGGCGTAAGACTAAACTAACTCACTCATACAATGATAATTTCTGGAATATTGTTAAAAGTGTCGGAAAACTAAACTCACTCACTTATGCAATCGCAATTGCTGGAATATTGCTAAGAGCGGCGTAAAACTATACTCACTCACTCACTCACTCATACAGTCATAGTTCCGAATCCCAGGTGACCCAGAAAGAAGCTAATTACTGTTTTATTTACAAGAATGGAATAACATTGGGTGGCCACAGAGAGTTGGTACACCCCTCTGGGCTGAGGGCTAGAACTTAAATGGGTTGATGACTCTAAGCCTAAGTGCCGAGCATTTATATTTTCTAACTATTTATTTCAAAATTGAAACAATAAAATTATTATGGTTGGTTAATGATACAAAATGGGGTGTGCCCTATAGTACCCTATTATAAATGAAATGCCCAGACAGATTGGAGTACTTGATCATGCTAATCCTTGAACTGAGCCTAATCTTCTTGACACATTTACTGGATGATTGTGGTATTAGCATTGAACCCAACACGCTCACTGTCACTCACAATATGTCTATTTTACAGTTAGTGAGATGTTAAGCTTTTTTCATGAATACTGCAGAAGAGTATGTGATATCTGCAATTTAGTCAGCATCTTGGTGCAAACAGAGGAACATACTGAACCTGAACTCATTACCAGGGCTATAAATTAACATTTAAAAGCACAAGCGATAGACTGCTTGTGACGTTTTAAGTTACAATCTAAATGTAATTTCAATAAGCAAAAACGTAAAAATAATTCCAAAATCACGTCTTCAAACACCTGCAACTGCTTTAGTAGATTTCTTAACGTGCCCGCCGTCAGTTTTCTTTTAGTCAGGACTTATCCCTGATTCCACAACACTTTCCCCTTCACATTTCCGTTTTAATTAGTTTGTTACCATATTAGTTGTAATAATGTTTGATCATAAATGTCAAATTTGACAAATGCACGCGGTTGCTAAGGTCCACCATCATTGAATCGGAAAATCCTGAGGTTATACTAAGCATGTGATTGGCTGTAAGTTCTGAAGATTTCATATTCGAATCCTTAGTTAATTGTCGTCAGTAAATAAAGGGAAGTAACTCCAAACTGAGTATGACTGACGATGTTTTTATTCAACCATTTTCATAATTTTTCTGATTTAAATCAACAAAAACATGGAACACAAAAATTTTTTTATTAAAAACTTGAATGCTATTATGAATTGTTAAATGCATTTAGCATATTAGCATCCGTTAATTTTGACCCGTGACTACATTAATCAGGCACTGTGATTGAGGTGACAGAATGAGCAGGGTCACTAAAGTACTGTCTGAAATAGTAAAAACTGTATTTTCTCATTTATCTTTACAATTTATGTAGTTGATAGGTGCAAATAACTGTTAAAGTAAGTTCGGCCTAACTACAGTCTCAGTGGTAGGGAGATAGGAAACGTAGAAAAAGGACTTTACTGAGGAGAGATTAGTGCAGAAAAGAGCAATACGGTTTTTTTCTAAGTCCAAAACGATTTATTTGGAACAGACCATGGCTTTATGCAAATTAGTGTGTGACGATATTATATTACAAAGGACGTAGCTTCATTATAAATGATAGCTGGCGTAAAAAATAATAACTTTCATGCTGAAACTATTAAGGATGTAGCTACCATGGCGTCTCACTGTCACTATAAAAAGAAACAGATAGAAAGGTTCGTCTCAAATGCAAAACCTGGACGGGTGCTGCAGACGATCGTTGGGGTCGGGCTTGGGGAAAGAGATATCAGCTGAGATAAGATAATCCTTTAGGGCAATTATACTGGGGAAGTACACGGCATGTCATAACAATTTATAAATAATATCCAGTCCTGTCGATTGAATCGCGATTGGGTGGTCATGCCTCCTATGTATTTTGAGACATTGATATGATGGGTTTCTATGGTTATCAGGTATCATAATAATAATAATAGTCCATTTGTAATGCGCATTTCTCCACGCATAATGCATGCTCGAAGCGCCCAATGTTCAAAGTACACAGCACAGGACTGAAATAAGTTCATTTGATACACTTCAGGATGTAGGGTAGGCGTTTTGGAACAGATAAGTTTTCAGATTTCATCTGAATGCTGAGTATGATGGTGCAGTTCTAAGAGTGTGGGAAGGCTATTCCATTCCGTGGGCTTCATAGAACACAAAGGATCTTTGGCCAAACCTGATGGTTCTGACTCTGGGTAAACACAAGAGGTTTTGTGAAACAGATCTGAGAGATCTTGCTGGTGTGTACAGCTGGAGTAGTTCTGTGAAGCAGATCTGAGAGATCTTGCTGGTGTGTACAGCTGGAGTAGTTCTGTGAAGCAGATCTGAGAGATCTTGCTGGTGTGTACAGCTGAAGTAGTTCTGTGAAGCAGATCTGAGAGATCTTGCTGGTGTGTACAGCTGGAGTAGTTCTGTGAAGCAGATCTGAGAGATCTTGCTGGTGTGTACAGCTGGAGTAGTTCTGTGAAGCAGATCTGAGAGATCTTGCTGGTGTGTACAGCTGAAGTAGTTCTGTGAAGCAGATCTGAGAGATCTTGCTGGTGTGTACAGCTGGAGTAGTTCTGTGAAGCAGATCTGAGAGATCTTGCTGATGTGTACAGCTGGAGTAGTTCTGTGAAGCAGATCTGAGAGATCTTGCTGGTGTGTCCAGCTGGAGTAGTTCTGTGAAGCAGATCTGAGAGATCTTGCTGGTGTGTCCAGCTGGAGTAGTTCTGTGAAGCAGATCTGAGAGATCTTGCTGGTGTGTCCAGCTGGAGTAGTTCACAGAGATAATCAGGAGCAGCACCTGTTACACACTCCTAGGTGGTGCACAGAACTTTGAAAGCAATTCTCTGACGGACAGGTAGCCAGTGCACAGGTGTGATATGGCTACACTTTGGACATAGAGTAACTACTCTTGCGCAATTATTCTGGATCCGTTGAAGTTTTGAAACTAGCACTTGCGGAGCCCCGGCAAGTAAACTGTTACAATAGTCTAATCTAGACATTACAAGAGACAAAACAAGGATTAGCGTTGATTCTTTGGTCAGAGAATTTCTTATTGCTCCTATATTTCTCAGTTGAAGGGAACAGAGTCGCACGAGATGAATGACTTGTTCCTCAAGATCCAGCTGAGGATCAAGTATGACTCATAAGTCTTTCACTGATGATGACAGCGAAATGAGACTGCTTCCAACCTGAAGAGAGTGTAAATTACTTCGTTACCGGTTGAGCTTTGAACCAACGAGCATACATTCTGTTTTGTCGTCATTGAGCTTGAGTCTGTTTTGGAGCCTCCATGTCTCCATGTCTTGTTGTCTTGGCAACACTGTGTTGTCTTGGTTGCTGCAGATGTTGACTTGGTTCAGGATCAAAGATGCTGATTAACTGTAAATCATCTGCGTATTGATGCCGCTTTATCTGGTGAGCATCAATCACTTGACCAAGCTGAGTTGTATATAAAGTAAACAACACTGGACCAAGGACTGAACCTTGAGGAATGCCACATGTCAACAGGACGGGATCAGACAGGGCGCCATCAACAAGCACACACTGGTATCGTTGTGAGAGGTACGACAGGGCACCATCAACAAGCACACACTGGTATCGTTGTGAGAGGTACGACAGGGCGCCATCAACAAGCACACACTGGTATCGTTGTGAGAGGTATGACAGGGCGCCATCAACAAGCACACACTGGTATCGTTGTGAGAGGTACGACAGGGCGCCATCAACAAGCACACACTGGTATCGTTGTGAGAGGTACGACTTGATCCACATTAAAGCAATTCCAGAGATACCAAAATCGCATTTCAGTCGAGAAAACAGGAGGCTGTGGTCAATAGTGTCTTTTACATATCTCAACATAAACTTTATGAAAGAAAGACACGTAAGATGTTAATCAATAGATGAGGCATAGTCAACACACATGAAAAAGCACAAAATATCTTTGAGATGACCAATTGTGCCTGTAGGCAGCACATGCATTTCATGCCAGGTGAGTCGACGGTCCGTTATCATACCTGTCTGAGCGACCTAATTGCCATCTATAGTCTGATCTATTGTTTTCAGCAGCAATTCGTATTTTTTCTAAGTTTTGCTTAATTTTACGAATAAACATGCTTTTCTGGATATCCTATTACGCATCCCACTGAATGCCCAGTTAGGCCGCAGTGGGTTATTTCGACATATGCTATTTGCAGTTGTGTAAATTTTAGGGATACAGAGTAACAGCCTAAAAACAGTTTTTTTCTTTTCCGACAGTACTTTAGAACTTATTGCTATATGTTGCAATATGGGTGGTGGTGTGTGGTCCTGTGCACAGAGGTCAGGTCATGAATCAGTTGAAGTTAAGCAACGCCGAGCTCAGATGGGTTGAGCTCACCTTGGATGGGTGACCGTGGTTGGCAGCCTGACTCCTGAGAGTTTCTAGGACTTGAGTCCTGCCCACAACGAAGCACATGGTCTCACCTTAGGCAAGTGAGTTTGTTCCAAATTACCTTTGTTCACCCAGCAGAAAATGGGTACCCGGTGGATGAAGTCATGTGACTATAACCTTCTAGCGCCTAGGAGGTAGCTTGAGTTATCCGGGGCAATAAGAATCAGATTCTGATTAAGCTCCGCGAGCCATCACTTGGTGTTTGGAGACTGTGCGCTATAGAAGATGACTTATTATTATTATTATTATTAATATAGTGCTTGAAGCCCTGAGAAAGAATTCCAGTTGATCAGAACTCCAAGGTTATTTATAAACTAATTTGAATAAGTCCTCTAAAATAGTTTCTTTAAGTTTTCCTAACAAGTGAAGGGCTGGGATGTAAAACAGGAAATTTTTCTGCCCAAACCTTGAGATCGGTTGTCACTGTCATGGAGGCCATTGTTCAAATTGAAATGTTCAGTTTCTTGAAGCCATGATAAAACCATGTGGAAAACAAGTTTCATCATGAAACCTTAACCTGGATTACAACTATAAAATACCTGAAGACATTATCAACAGTTTATAATCTCGTTGTAACATTCTTCCACAGAAAACAAAATGGCGGCTACTATTCCAGCATGGTCACTATCCCGGTGGTTGTGCAACTTGTCATAAGTCCTTATCCGACAGTGATATTAATATTCTCGAAAATTGAATACACCAGGAGGAAGTAGTTACATGTCCGTGCATCAAATTTTACAACAATACAACAATGTCTAGATTAGATCCGATCGGTCAACTGATTTCAGTTTGTGAACATTGTGTGTAGTTTCACCTGTTAAGGACATGTAACAAGGAAACTGTTTATGCAGATTTCCTTCTGCCTTTTGCTGACAATTTCTTTAAGGAGTTTGAGGAAAGAGGTGCACTAGTTGTAGAAGGGTCTACACTTACCTTTTGATTGGCAGAAGGACGTTTGGGAATGGAAATTCTTTCTTTCGCGACGAGTGACAGATGACGTGTGTTTATTATTATACTGACACTGATAGGCTAGTATTTAGTGTCTCGATATATGTAGTTTTAGAGGCTACATCATTTACATGAAAAGAAGCCTGTGTGATTCAGAACCTGAGGGAAATTTAGACATATAGTCCAGGAGGAGGCAGCTGAAAAATTTGAAATTGTAGCCTCCCCAGTACTGATTTTGTTTGACACTATTTTCAGTTAGTATGATGTCTTGGGCTCATGAAAAGGCTTCATGTAGGGCTTTTGTATGCCAGGAAATGTCAGGAAGAAGGGGAAAGGTTGTGGTTCAGGGACTGTGATTCAGATTTGGGATGCTTGATATGATGTGATATGAAGTTTAGCATGGTTTACCTTAGTTTTTGAAGTTTGAGTTTAGCTGTGTTAGGTTTGGGTAGGTTACCCCTACTCCGACCGTTAGCCCAGATTCCCATTATAAATTCATTAGAACTGAAACCCTATGAAGATCTGGGTTAGAATTGATCTTCAGCAACCCATGCTTGTTGTAAGAGGCCACTAACGGGATTGGGTGATCAGGCTTGCTGACTTGAGTGACACATGTCATCGTATCCCAGTTGTGTAGATCAATGCTCATGATGTTGATCACTGGATTGTGTGGTCTTGACTCGATTATTTACAGATCGCCGCCATATAGCTGGAATATTGCTGAGTGCGGCGGTAAACAACAACTAAACCCATCATTAGAATAGGGTACCTCACCCTATTCAAACACCCTTTCAGAAGTGATTAAGACTGAGAGGCAGGTAAACCTTTATGTCCTCATGGTTGCTTGTGAGTTATTTTGCTGCTGTTCACTCACCTCCTAGAGACATCATCCAATGCAATTTAGGGGGAGACTTTCATATATTGTAAACCAAAAGTCACTGTGTTCTTTAATCTGATTGGTTGAAAACCGTGATCAAATGGTATTCGATTCCCGGAAATTCGCTGCGTATTAATACATACAAACATCGCTCACACCATTGTATTGTTACGTCGTCAGCTGTGATGACGTCATTAAAATCATATTGTGACGTAAATTCCGAATGACGTCACAAATGAGCAGTTCCAGATGCTACCATGGGAGACAGCCGAAACGGCCGGCTGATGACATTGCACTGCTGTACCCGTACTCTATGTCAATGAGTGCAGACACAAAAACGTGTGTGGACCTTTTGGTTTACTTTTGTGTTTACAATGTTGATAAACGTCATGTGATGGATGATCATCTAATCTCTTGGTAAATAAGTGTTTTGTAGACAGCAAGGCTGGTAAATTGTTGGCATTTAGACTGTCTCATTAACCAAGCTTTACATCAAGCTAGCAGAGCAGGTTCGATCGTTTCCTGTTTCCATGGCAACAATTTGACTTGACTCTGTTCATAGTGGTGTGTTTGTCTGGACGATATTTCTAAAACTAATAGGTATTCTTTCATGAAACTGCACACACAAAGATAAGGTTGTCAAGTGGTGCCTTGTGCTACTTCGGTTGTTAAGAATTTATGTTTTGTCCATTTCCATGATTTTGACTCTGTCATAGTGTTGTGTTTGTCATGACCATATCTTAGAAGAGTACCAGGTTTCTTGCACAAACAAAAAAACAGGTTGTCAACTGCTGGTTTTCGCTATTAGGGATTTTTAAAATTTGTATTTTTTCCTTTGACTTTGATATTAGTGTGTACCTGACATAGAAGTACAAAGTTACGAATGCAGATTCCATGTTATTGTTTTGATAGCCCAATAACTACTCTTTTATGTGGACCGACAGATTAGACAGAAAATCTCTCATCAAGTTGGACTTTAAATAACTGTCAGATGGTTTGTTTTTTCGAATAATGTTCAGGCTGGGGTATTTGATCATATTCTGATGACTTGTCTCATGTTGTGAGAAATATATTGTGCCTACTTAGTGTTAATGAATATGCATGGAAAGAGTAACAAAGCAAGAATTAATGAAATAAAAATAGATGCATTTCAATGATTTGGCACATTCAGCACAATTTGTTACATTTTCCATCTTTTGTGATGGATGACTAATGCAGAGTCACACACACTGTACTTCTCCTCATCTCTGACTATTTTGTTTGGTTCTCATGGTTACAAGGAAAACTAAAAAGAAAAATCTAGTTTCAAGCAGCTGTAAAGGGCTCCATGATCTTTTTTGGCTTTATCCCCCAAAGTACTAGATTAGCCATTTAGAACTTTTTCAATTTACTCTTTTACTTCATCTCCATGGTGATACTTTAAACATGCAGCATAGAACCTCAGAATGATCAGCAAACTATGTCTATACATACTGCCAATTTTCAATGTGATCTGTAGAGAACTGATGAAGATAGCAACTACAGTGAGCAAAATAGACTTTTACTTGTCCTTGTCTCAGGAACTGTGTTGCTGCAATATGTAGGCAAAATCGGCAATAATAGCTTAAATGCAAATTTTAGTCAAGATTGGAAGACTGGTTTTAGAGTTACATGTGAAATCGTAAGAAAACAACCATGAAAGGTTTTTGACATATGAACAGATCACCGAAATGCAGCCATTGAAAGCACATGTCAGCACTTTTTGTGCTCAATGTTCAGAGTAGTTCCTAGGCTTAAAGTATGGAAATTTTGGAGGATCTAGAGCTCAGCACATTTTGGGAGACAAAGTACTCGGAAAAATATTTTAAGAAATAGCTAAAAATTTAAGTACAATATAGTTCCCAGATGGTGCCTTTTAGCCATGTGGGCCCTGCACTTGAAATTGAAGGGAATATGATTCCGCACATGTTCAAGAAATTTAGTTTTGGAGATTTTTGCTTTTGAAATTGAAATATCTGCCCTTTCCTATTGATCCTTGAGTCTTGAGTTGGTGGAATTATTTTTTAACAGATTTTGAGCTTTGGTTTTTGAGCTATTATTGGAACAAAATACTGCGGAATAATAAATAATAATCTGGACAATTACTATAGGTCTCCTATCCTGGGGCATGGAGCCCTAATAACCACACACAGATTGTCAGAAAGTTTCTTTGTTACAAGTCTCATTTGTCCATGTATAATCCCTGAATCAATGAAAGGCACTTTCTGGCTGGAATATTTGACCACCGTGTTTGTTATACACTGCAGTGATATTGCTGGAATATTGTGGTGTATATCCAGCCACTCACTCATCCAGTGTATTTACAGACCTTGCATTGCGAAGGCTGGAATATTGTGGTGTATATCCAGCCACTCACTCATCCAATGTATTTACAGACCTTGAGGCACCAAGGCTGGAATATTGTGGTGTATATCCAGCCACTCACTCATCCAATGTATTTACAGACCTTGAGGCGCCAAGGCTGGAATATTGTGTATATCCAGCCACTCACTCATCCAATGTATTAACAGACCTTGAGGCGCCAAGGCTGGAATATTGTGGTGTATATCCAGCCACTCACTCATCCAATGTATTCACAGACCTTGAGGCGCCAAGGCTGGACTATTGTGGTGTATATCCAGCCACTCACTCATCCAATGTATTTACAGACCTTGAGGCGCCAAGGCTGGAATATTGTGAAGTATTATCCAGCCACTTACTCATCCAATGTATTTATAGACCTTGGGACACTGATTCCACAAACGATGTCATAACTGTTTGTCAACATGGAGTTCAGTATGAATCTTGGTATTCCGTGATACAGTACAGAGATTTTCACAGTGATTCTTCAACAGTTTGTCAACATGGAGTTCGGTATGAATTTTGGTACTTAATGACACAGTACAGAGATTTTCACATGACGCCAAGTTGTCCCTTAGTATTCCTGGTTGTGTTAAACATTCTTCTCTTCGTCCGCATCATCATCTTCATCTTCCTGGCCTCCTGCTTCCCCTTCTCTACCAAATGCTTCCATAACGAGGACAAGCTCTGAGCCTTGTATCATTTTCTTTTCATCCTGGAGGAATAAGGAAAGTAAGTTTAGAGCAAGGACCATATAAAGTGCTACTCAGGAGATGGTCAAGTGGGACTTTGCTACTTATGTGGCACCAAGACTGGAATATTGTGGTGTAAAACCAGGCATGGCCTCACCTCATCCAAGGTTTTACACTAACAGACCTTGAGTCACTGACTCCACAAATGCTGACAGAACTGTTGGTCAACATGGAGTTCAGTATGAATCTTGGTACTCTGTGACACAGTACAGAGATTTTCACAGCTGCTGAGCTCAGTGTCATGTCTCAGGAGATGCTGCTGTAACTTTCATGACACCAAGTACTCCTGGTTGGGTTAAACATTCTCCTCTTCATCCGCATCATCGTCTTCACCATCTTCATCTTCCTGGCCTTCTGCTTCCCCTTCCTTAACGATGACAAACTCTGAGCCTTGTATCAAGTTCAGTTCATCCTGGAGTAATAAGGAAAGTAAGTTTAGAGCAGCTTCAGTTGTTGCCGGTTGACAAGTGCAAGACATGAGATGGTCAAGTGGGACTTTAATACTTTGTCAGATTATACTCCATATGGAAGACAACCACTGTTGGGAGCATGATACTCATAGTAACAGGAGTTCTTGAGATCGTTGAAGTTAACATCTATATTATTGAAATCGAGGGACACTCTAAATCTTTACTTGTTAACATTTGGCCCATGACTAATACCCCTTTGCTTTCTTACTTCTTTCACAATATGGGCATGTATTTTACTATGATTAGAAGTTTCTTATTAGAAATGCATGAAAATATGAACCACTTACCGGTACCCGTAAATAACCTTCACATTGGTTATTCCAGATAATGTCCCTTTTTGTTCCAGAGGCTATAGCTAGGCTGTTGTCGAAGGTGTTCTGTCTTTCCTGGTCAAATGATGGTCGCTCGCTGTCACTTTGCCTTTTCAAACTATCTGGAGTCTTTACAATAAGACATTGTTGTTTTTCTTTGGTTTGTGGTACGTCCATATATTCATTGAAAATTAGTTTCACGGTGTTTGATGCTGCCTTTCTTTCAGGTATTTGGAATGGATTGTCAGACATCCTTACTGCAGCAGTGTAATCATGTACTGGTACTCCTGCTAGGAAACTCTGACCAGACATAACTGCTTGTTTGATAGTTTGCTCACTAGTTTACGCATCATCTAAAGTTGGATCAGGTTGTGTGGAGTGAGACCTACCATGCTGTTGACTGTCTTTATGAGTTAGATTAGGTAGGCCATCCTGGTTGTATGGTACAAGTCTACCTATTGAGGGTGTGTGTGGAATATCTGTGATTTCATCAGTATCAGAATCACTCACAGACCCTTCTGAAGAACCATATTCTTGTAGTTTTGATGGTATGTGGTAACTGTCTTGTTGTGGGAAATCTTGCTCACTACCCTGAGGAGGTGAGTCATTTGCAGTTTGTTGACATTCAGACATTTCCACAGTTGTAGGTCTTCCATGGTAGTCCTGCAGTTTGGCAGGTAAACTGTACGATTGTCCTGTTTGTACATGTTGTTGGCTTACTTGGGAAGAACCAGTCATTTCTGTAGTTTGATCTTTACCAAGTCCGGCATCAGAACCATCTGAATGTTGCTGCTCTACACCCAAGGAAAGATCAGGCCTACCATGTGTATGGGGTGGGGACAAGGTGTTTTGGCGTTGGTTGTATATGGCTTCTTGATCAAAAGATTGGCTTGATGGTTGTAGACCTAACTCAGTTTGATGCACTGGTTCTCTGATGCTTTCTTTGCTAAAGTCAGCATGAGGATCAAATTGGCTATCTGGTCCTTCTCCAGGAATTACACTGGATTGATCATCCTTTATCTCTTCAGATATCTGTTCACTTATCAGAGTCGGTCCTAAATCTTTTATGACTTTTCCATAAACATCATTCATGCCAGGAATGTATTTTTTAATATCAACCCTGGTCTTGTCATCAGATCTTGTGTTGCTTAATGGATCATGCCAATCTTTTTCTTTCTGATTGAAGTAACTACTATGTGTTCTAAAGTTGCCTAATTTGTTCCCTTGCTTCAAGTTATTGTTGATGTTTTGATCAATGTGGGAGCTTGATGGCAAAGGTGTGTCAAAACCAGGCTTCTTCTCTTCATTCAATGATGCATCTGGTCTTGCTTCTGTAGCATCTATTCCTCTTTCATATGACTCCTGGACTTGGTTTCTATCAAACTTAATATTGATTAAGTCAGCCAGCTGTCGCTCGAATTGTCTAATGACAGATAAGTCAGTCAGAATGAGGTTTTTAAAGACTGTTGACAAGGATTCTGTAGTTTTCAAGTTAAAGTATGGAAGTGTTCTTTGCAGATTGTGAAGAAGTATCTTACGTCTGTGCTCATAATTGCATGTGTTATTGCTACTTTCATGTGTCGGTCTAGGTGAGGTAAGCATGTCCAATGGTCTGTTTGACATGTATATACAAGTGTACCCATTGGTTCCTGGAAGGGCTGTGGTATCACTATCAGATGATGAATGATCAGACGTGATGATGGATTTGTCTTGTGAGAACTCTGGGGAGAGGATCTCTCTTGAATAGTCTATGTCTTCAGAATCACTATGTTGTTTAGGTGATAGCTGCTGTACAGCAGTCTTTGGAATGGTTTCATTGGGATGAGGATATGAACATGGGCTGTGCTCTTTATTCTCTGGTGTCACTGCTGTAACATCTGTGTTGTCAAGATCCTGCTTCAAACTGTCAGTCAGGTTTGCTATTTCGCTACCAGATGACACTGGTGCATCATTAGGGGAATTGAAAATATATTTAACACTAGCACATTCTGGTTTTTTTTCATCAATCCATATCTGGTTGATTCTGTGTTGTGTTATTGTTTCTATTTCAGATGACTCTAATTCACTCATTGATTCTGAGTCATTGTCACCAGTGACTTTTTTGGGATGTGTTTCATCTTGATTGTCAGCTTGTTCTCTTTGTACAGTGGCATCTAGTTCACCATCACAATCTTTATCAGCTGTGTCAGCTTGTCCAACCACAGAGTGTTTTCTTGATGTCATGTGCTGGCTCTTGGCTGCATTGTCCTTCAAGTCAGGTTGAAGTAGCAGTTGTAGGAAGGTATTGTCAGGATAATTCAATATACTATAACTGTTTTGTCCAGATAAGTTTTCTACACTTTTGTCAATGTCTGCATGGTCACTGGCAATGGCTTCTTTTGGGTAGGTTTCATCTGGATGGGGAACACTATTTACAGATTCTTCATCACTGCTATCTCCTATCCCACTGTCTTTACTGCTTAGACTTGTATCATATTTGTCAGGGTTACAGTGCAGAAGAGGGCTTGATTGGTCATATTCTGTGTTCTGTGTGATGAACCAGAGCAGATGTTTGATGGCCTCAGAAATGCTGGTTAAATCGGCTAGAGATGTTCTATTTGTATCAGTTTCAGTTTTGGTACCACTATCTGTGTCTGATGCAGGTGTCTTCGGGTGTGTTATATCTGGATCTGTGACTGATGGTGGTACAGGTGTCTTCGAGTGGGTTATCTCAGGATCTGTGACTGATGGTGGTGCAGGTGTCTTAGGGTGGGTTATTTCAGGATCTGTGACTGATGGTGGTGCAGGTGTCTTAGGGTGGGTTATTTCAGGATCTGTGACTGACTGATGGTCTGTGACTGTGCAGGTGTCTTAGGGTGTGTTATCTCGGATCTGTGACTGATGGTGGTGCAGGTGTCTTAGGGTGGGATCTTGACTGATGGTGGTGCAGGATCTGTGACTGATGGTGGTGCAGGTGTGTTAGGGTCTGTGACTGGGTGGTGCAGGTTATTTCAGGATCTGTGACTGTTAGATGGTGGTGCAGGTGGTGCAGGTGTCTTTGGGTGTGTTATTTCAGGATCTGTGACTGATGGTGGTGCAGGTGTCATAGGGTAGGTTTTTTCAGGATCTGTGACTAATGGTGGTGCAGGTGTCTTTGGGTAGATTATTTCAGGATCTGTGACTGATGGTGGAACAGGTGTCTTAGGGTGTGTTATTTCAGGATCTGTGACTAATGGTGGTGCAGGTGTCATAGGGTAGGTTTTTTCAGGATCTGTGACTAATGGTGGTGCAGGTGTCTTTGGGTAGGTTATTTCAGGATCTGTGACTGATGGTGGTGCAGGTGTCTTAGGGTAGGTTATTTCAGGATCTGTGACTGATGGTGGTGCAGGTGTCTTTGGGTAGGTTATTTCAGGATCTGTGACTGATGGTGGTGCAGGTGTCTTAGGGTAGGTTATTTCTGGATCTGTGACTGATGGTGGTACAGGTGTCTTTGGGTAGTTTTTTTCAGGATCTGTGTCTAATGGTGGTGCAAGCATCTTCGGGTAAGTTATTTCAGGATCTGTGACTGATGGTGGTGCAGGTGTCTTAGGGTGGGTTATTTCAGGATCTGTGACTGATGGTGGTGCAGGTGTCTTAGGGTATGTTATTTCAGGATCTGTGACTGATGGTGGTGCAGGTGTCTTTGGGTGTGTTATTTCAGGATCTGTGACTGATGGTGGTGCAGGTGTCATAGGGTAGGTTTTTTCAGGATCTGTGACTAATGGTGGTCAGGTGTCAGGATCTGTGACTGGAACAGGTGTCTTAATGTGTTATTTCAGGATCTGTGACTGATGGTGGTGCAGGTGTCTTAGGGTAGGTTATTTCTGGATCTGTGAAGCATCTTGATGGTTATTTCAGGAATGGTGGTGCAGGTGTCTTAGGATGTGTTATTTCAGGATCTGTGACTGATGGTGGTGCAGGTGTCTTTGGGTAGGTTATTTCGGGATCTGTGACTGATGGTGGTGCAGGTGTCTTAGGGTAGGTTATTTCAGGATCTGTGACTGATGGTGGTGCAGGTGTCTTAGGGCATGTTATATCTGGGTCTGTGACTGATGCATGTGTTTTGGGGTGTGTTACATCTGGATCTGCAGGTTTCCTTAGGTTTTCATTCCCATGTCCATACTTATCCCCACCTTCCTTGAATGTGGCTTGGTTACACTGGCTACACTCTGAACCGAGGACTTTTGTTGTTTTGTTTGCATCACAAGAATCTCTCTTGCTGTTACTGTCTCTGTATTGTCTAGACTGCTCATCCTCTTTTGCTCCTGAAGGAAGATCACAAAAACCAACACTGGGTGTGGTCACTTGATTCTGGCCATGTTCCTTCAGTATTTCACTTGGAACCTGGCCACATTCAGAAACAATCAGGTTTTCATTTCTTATGCTTTTGCACTTAAGCTGTTGGTTGTTGCCAGTGTTGGGAATGTCTTCTGTGTCTGAAGTCACGGAGAATGTAGTTTTCCAGGCACTTTCACCTTCCCCGTCACCTGTATCTTGGGTTTCATTGCTTAGATCAGAACATGCATGGACATCATCCACTGAACTTGTGCTGGATTCAGGACTTGTCGAACAGCTTTCACCTTCCCTGTCACTTGTATCGGGGGTTTCATTGCTTAGATCAGAACATGCATGGACATTCATTATGCTGGGTTCGCCATTGCTCAACAGAAGGTAACTCTGCTACATTATGCTCAATAGTTACAGAACCATCGCAGAGGACCATTATACTGCAGTTGCACTGATGTGGGAGCAAGTTGTGGTGATTCTCGGTGGTCAAATCTGGTGGGATGAAAACAAGACCAAAAGCCACTGCCGAGCAAAATGTCCTCTTTCATATTTGGTTGAAGTTGGCAGAACTTGGTGTCTTTCATTATTTTCATGAACTTTTATGACAGGAGATGACCAGCGATTCTTACTCCTCACAAACCAAGAACCTGTTAAAACAGAAGCATTAACAGCTGATGATTTCAGGTCAAAGGGAATTTTATATGACTGTCTCAAATGAGACTTCGTAAAATCCAGAAAAATCCTTTGCATTGTGTTGTAATGATGTAACCTCATTATTGACATCGCTGAAGGATATTGAATTGAGTCAGTACTCGTACTGGGCAGTGCAGAAGCAATGAGGTTTATGTAAAACAGAACTAATACTTATACATTTAATTAATGAGAAGTCTCAACAATGAATCTAATATATAAATGATAAGGTTTATAAATAGTTAAACCGAGTATAACTTATATCTAAAACCAATGAGTACCTCATTGGAATACACAGATAATGCCAAACCAAGTTTATTTCTGGTCATATTTTTTCAACAATAAGGGGGAAAAAATGTGATTTTCCCCCCTCCAAAAATAAATTTTTAATATTTTTATTGGCCCAAAATGTAAATGTGCAAGAAAATGTTTTTAGATTGTTTTTTGCCCCATATACACTTCATAAATTGCCAAAAGTAAAATGCTTTTAGTATTTAAAAGGAATATTACTCTGACTGGCTATTTTTGTTTTTAATTTTTTACTCCTTCCTTTAGGTTTTCTGATGACAAAAATCCGTAAAACAAGAAATAAAATTGGTCTGGCCTAATAAAGATTGAAAATATGTGGAAAATAATGAAGTAATGTGGTTTATGAAAAATAATGATTTCAAACTTTCATGTAATTTTTCTTTATGGAAGAATGAAATACCATTACATTTGATATGCATTTGATATAGCTGGTTGACGTTGTAACAACGTTTATTTTCCAATATGGTGCATATGAATGAGTTTGTCCTCTTGTCTAGCTGAAAGCCAGTAGTACTTCATTGCCCTATAGGGAAAACTGACAATATATATAAAATCCTATTTCTAATCCTTTGATGTAACAGTGAATAAGATGGGTTTTACACTGCTTTTAGCAATATTCCAGCAACATCACGACAGAGGACATCAGACATAGGATCCACATTACCCCTCTGGGGAATCAAAACCAGGCTTTTGGCATGACGAGAAAATGCTTTACATTTATTCTCACGAAATGTGCACTAACTGATAACTGTAACTGATAAAAAATTAAAGTTATTTTTTTTAAATGATAAGTCATTTTATTGTTAGAACATCATTTATTGTTCATGAAATTCAAACTCAAAAGTCAGAAGTCAAGGAGAACACGGAGATCGCCAATCATGATTGGGTACCCATGATTGGGTAAACTAATTTGCATACATTGATCATCAAACTTATTATACAGGGTTTTTTTAGCTTAGTTTTACTGGAAATATATTTGACATAAGTTTGATCTGTAATATATTCTGATAAACAACAGAACCTGGCCATTATACAACTTGAATACAAATCTTGTAATCTACGTTACCGTAACACTACCGTATCTGTATAGAAACTTAGAAAAATTACTAGTGAAATGTTGCTTAGTAATACTATTACGCTGAGTTACATTAAAAGATACAAAAATGAATAACTGTTACTTTGTTTCATTCATTGTTTAAAGTCACATAGATAACATCCTTAAAAAATCTCTACAACTTTAAACTTATGAAGCAGTGTGACAAATCAGCTGAAATTTAGTGGCTATGAGATTGATGTTGTATTGTGCCAATATAAACAAGTAAATAAGGAATACTATCTAATGAATACATATACTTTTGTAAAATAATTATATGGTTATTTTCATTTTCATGGGGCAACTTGGATTACACTTTTATGGAGACATCATATTAAACATAAATTCTAAAAAAAATGAACCAAATGAAGATATGTTCTGGGTATGGATGAAAGGGATAGTACTTTATGTCTGTGATCTGTTTTGTTTACACTAGATGACTATTCACTTTGAAATATTCACTCAATATGTAATACTATCATTGGAGACACTTTGGTGATTTTACCTTGAGTCACACACATGAAGAACAGATCATTAACAATTTCTATGTCTCGGATATCTAACCTGTCGCCTAATAAAAACATGAAATGAAAGGTGAAATCAGTAAAAAAAGGTGTTTATTAATGCGGAGACACATAAAATTATAAATGGTGCTCATTTCATGAGAATAGGTGTGTAGCCACAAGGCCACAAGGCTACAGCACTGCTCCCTGTGTTGTAAGAACCCCACTGATAAGTCTGTGTCACAATCCCTGAACCACATTATTTCCCTACTGCCTAGACCCGGGAAGATCCGGGTTAGAATTGATCTTCAGTAACCCATGCTTGTCGTCAGAGGCAACTAACGGGATCGGGTGGTCAGGCTTGCTGACTTGGTTGAAACATGTTATCATATCCTAATCGTGTAGATCAGTGCTCATGCTGTTGATCACAGGATTATCTGGTTCAGACTCGATTATTTATGGACCGCCGCCATATAGCTGGAATATTGCTGAGTGCGGCATAAAACTAAACTCAATCAATCAATCAACCCTACAGCCTAGCCCTCCCTGCGATGCTAAAGCCCTAAATGAAGCAAGTCTAGATTTCCCCAGGTCCTGAGTGTCCCAACTCTCCTCTTCAATTTAAATGGGTTTATTTGTTACTAAAATTATACGAGGGACAGTCAAAAAGTAGTGAGCCTGACCTAGTAAATGATACAAATGCAGCTGTTTTTATGTTTTATTTTTCTACATATTATCTGTCAACCTCAAGCAAATTGGTTTTGCTATGTTCCAGCCTTACGATCCCCATTTTGTTTGAAATTTTATCTTGGTACCCCCCAAAAGCGCAAAATCTGCAATAAATGCACCACAAACTTCAGGTAACAAAATATGCAAGAAACATTTTGTGTGTTTGAGATAGGTAGACGTCCGCTAGAATCAAACTTAGATATTAAAGTGGATAAAAAAGCAATTTGAAAGTACAATCGCTTGTTAAAGTGATTCCCCTTTCATGTTTACTGAAACAGCTTGTTTTGGAGACACTACCCACCCCCGTTCAGATGATGAATTCATAAGGACAAAACTTATTCTAATGTTTTCACTTTTTCACACATGATGCTAAAGGTTCAAAGTAAATACTGAATGGTCACACAAGTGTCAACTCTCAGTATATTATAAACAGGGCCAGCTTGAATATCTGGACACAATGTTTTTGAAAGACTAAAATGAGTGTGTCCTTAAAAAAACAGCCCTGTCTAAACATAAATCAAGCAATCCAAATCTTTGAATGTTGATTATGATGGGTAGTCATCCAATACTATGCTAACATATTTTATATGACATTATCTGAGGGCATACCATTATCGAAGAGGTACTAAATGACGGATCGTTTTTCATTTTCTGCATTTTTTCGAGAAATATTATACCCCAATGTGTTGTGATGACTAATATCTCGTTAATCACATTACCCACATATGTGAATTTTTTTATACCACTTTGCTAATGATTCCTACAAACTAAAATGGAAGCTTTTCAAACATTGGACATCGAGAATATAGTTAGGCTACGTACTTTTTGACCGACCCTCGTATATGTTAAGGCACTAAGGCATTAGTCTTCACAATGATATAAGATGAAATTTAACATGGCAGTTTGATAATGATGCCATGTTTGGCACGTTTGGACAGGTTTCTTGATGGGACACAGTTAAACATTCCTTTGAATCAAACGTGTAAACAACAGCTGTAATTGTAATTGGAAGCTGAACCTACCACACAGTTTGACACTGATCTTCTGTACCTTCTGTGTGCATATCTCTGACGTGGAGCCACCGATAGATATCTGGGATTTCCAGGATATTTTTAATTTCATGCGAACTTTGGATTCCTCGGGAATGTGTTATAATAAGAACTAACTGACCTACTTTTTGTAACAGCTAGCTGTGTGCTTTTGTTACTCAAGTGTCCTGGCAGACGACACAAGACAACACATAATAGTGCTTGTGGGAGTTGTGTACACAAGAATATACACAAATAAATGTCATGTTGATTCATTTACATGTTGAAGGAAAACTGATTTGTATGGATAGTCAACTTCTTTATTGCAATGAGCGCGATGTTTGATTAGGTACTAACACCGTTATCAAGCATGTTTGCAAACAAATATTTGATTGAAATGTGTGGGAGTGGGATGGGTGTGGGGGACAATATGGCCTTCAACTTCTGTAATATGATGGTAATTGGTTGGTTGTTTAACTAGTGGTGTTCCGATTAATTGAAATGATCGAAGATTGGTCGTGACCAAACGACCAAGCAATCGATCGCATTTTCTCATAATCGAACATAAGCGATTTTGGAACTACAGTTTTAGTCTTTGCAACACTTGACAATGGAACATATCTTAGAAGTTGTCAGGGCCTGAAAACATGTTGAATTCTTAGAAAACTCACTTCACTAACTGAAAAGTCATGACTGAATATTTCTCTAAGACTCCAGGAAGTGTATATTCATGATATATTAGTCATCATTTTAAAGTAGCAAGTTGCATCATGTTATACATATCAGCAATAACAACCTGGATATGAAAATCTGAAAAATAACGCTAACCACTTTTTTTCGGTGATTGTTCGTTGGTGATGAAGCAATCATCAATTGTGAAATTTCAACCAATTCCTAACACTATGTTTAACGCTGCACTGAGTAATATTCCAGCTATATGGCAGTGGTCTTAATCGAGTCTGGCCCAGACAATCCAGATCTTCACAGGTATGAAGAATATGTTGTTGTGGAGTATGTTTGAACTCCGTCACCATTGGAATGAAAGTGTGGAAGCAAAGAGAGATAATATATGTACATGAGAGAACAACAAAAGTGTTCAGATAACAAAGGTGGACACTTATTGTGGCACTGACATATGTCTTCAACACTGCCACCAAGGTCTCATTAACTGAGGTAGGATATTTTGCTGGTGGAAGCAACTGAGTGTGAAATGAGACTGTGCTACTGTCTGTGAGGTTCACTCCCAAAAGTCAGACCTCCCAAAAGACAGACCACCCATAAGACAGACTCGTTGAGTACACTAATTAGCTGAGCCAAAGTATATAACTAGAGAACAGGATGTTTTATAATAGTTATTTTTTCACATGACTTTTTCCGATCACCCTTCTAGATGGCTACCTGTATGCCAAGAACAAGGTGAAAGGAGAAAGTGATGATGTTTCAGTGACTTTCTAATAAGTGTTATCTGTGCAATGACAAACGTGTGATGTAAAATAATATGGCGCTTGGTCTGATATGTTTGACAGGTACATGTATATAAATTATTGTTTTTGATAATATTCACAAGTAAATGTAATCTGGCAAATATATATGTACATATATGTTGATGCAATATGTCTCAATTTAAAAATCATAATTCATTACATGAATCAATAGTTAATACCTTATGTTGTCTTTTTTTATCTGGGCACATACCATTATTATCAAGGGTACAGCTTAATTAAGCCTTATGCAACCAACCATAAAATGTGTTGTTTTAAGCGGTCTGTCTTGTGGGAGGTCTGTCTAATGTGAAGATACCATCTGTGAGGACAATGTTTACACACAATTTTGCATACCAAGGAAGCATGTGTTAATTGATTTCTACAACTAAACAAGCAGACAAGGAGGACAGTGGATGCTCAGCAGAATATAATTTGGAAATGTCCCAAAGGTTCTGATCTATTTGTGATAAAGTATCATGGAAATGCACGCATTTTCAGATTTCTGCTGCGTGGATCGTATGCTGACTGAGATTAAATGTTTTATGTTTAAATTTAGTCAAGAAGACAAATATAATTTATAACAAGCATTATCAGTGGTAACTTTACAACATTTCTCATTTGGCATTTCTCGTGTCTGGTTAAATTATTCCACCCTATAAATCCAGGTATAATGAAATATGCTCATTGAAGCACAGCAGGGGTGGATTATCAGTTGAGTTCTGAAATACATCGATGAAAGAATCAACTGCTGATTGATTGATTGTTTGATTGATTGATTGCTTACTCTCTGACCTTTCTGATGCACTGGAATACAACAAATTGAGTTCAAGGGTTAATTGTTTGCCTAATTAATCATTGAAACAATGCTTCTGTATAAAATGATGTTATTAGTACTCTTATGAACATCCAAGGGAAAATCCTTATTGAGAACAATATTGAACAAACTTATGGATAACAACTTCTTTTATTTGTGAGTGCGACGTTTCGATACAGATTCTTGTACTGTTGTCAAGCATAACGAAGTTGTTATCCATAAAGTTTGCTCTATATTTTGAGCCCAACTTCGAAAATGCCACTCAAAGAAGAAGTTATTGAGAACTTCACATTAAAATTTGGGCTGATGAATGTCAGTTTTACGATCATGCGACCTGTCTTTAATGGAAAATTTGAATATCATTTTAACTCATTTAGTATCATTATAAAATTATACAAGTTCATATAAAGCGATTAACTTGTATCTTTTGTATGCATGAAATATTGATCTGATTGCTGAATCGTTTCAATCCTTACTTCGACCTTGAAGTTTTGAAAAACATAATTTTCGCAACTTTATCATCTAGCTCATAATGGATACAGTCAATACCCCACAGAGGCAAGCAAGCCCATTGTCTATGTATTTGTATAAGATCTCATGAATAAATCATCTCCAGGCAGGAATGGGAGGGCGATATAGGTTTGAACAGAGTTATGGCCCTTGTCATGTGTTGCTTGACTTAGTGCATGGTATTCCCAATGGGGACAGATTTTCTCAGAAAATGTTATAGAAAGAGAAACCAGATGTGATATGTGTTGTCACGATATGAATGCCTTGATGGTGTTCGCAAATGGAAACAGGTCACAATTTGTTACAGAGTTATGGCCCTTGTCATGCTTTTCTGGACTTAGTGCATGGTATTCCCATTTGGGACAGATTTTCTCAGAAACTGTTATAGAACGGAAACCAAATTGGGTATGTAATTTTAGAACACAAATGCCTTGATGGAGTTACAAAATGGAAACTGTTCAGATTCGTTCACGTTCTGGCCCTTGTCATGCGTTGCTTGACTTAGTGCACATATCTCCAATGGGAACAGATTTTCCCAGTAACTGTTATAGAACGGAAACCAACTGTGGTATGTACTTTCAGGGCATGAATGTCGTCCTGAAACTGTATGGCAGTGATGTTGATGACCATGTCTTGTTGCTGCCATTGCAGTGACTGGATATACTGGTGTCGCCATTGTTGCATTGTGAAAAAGAAACTAGAATCTGTTTTCAACAATGTTTTCAATACAGAGACCACCCCTAGTATAGATATTGAACGGAACTATGGTTACTTCTACAAGGAAACAGAAACTTGAACTCACTATGAAATGACTTTTGTCCGAAGCAGATGCAGTGGTATATTGTCATCTGAAAACAGTAGGTGTCGTTCATTCAGATAGGTCTAATCCACATCATGTGTATTTATAACATATAGCCTTATGTAGCTAAGTATGATTGGCCCATATTTTTAAACATTGCATCATCAAGAACCTCAACAGTTGCCTAATGAAAACATTTAGTAAATTCTATGCAGGAAATAATCTAGTATCATGACATGTTTTGTCTATTCACAGCTATCACGTTTATCATCTGACCCTATCTGAATAAAATCTAAGGAAATCCTCAGAGGAGATGTTTAGTTTCCACAGACGCGGACTCTGGTGCATTGTTTATATATCCGTCACAATTTGTCCATCAAATCATGGTGAATGTCTCAGAATGTGGTCATGCATGTCCCAATCTGCTTAGCCAAGAGTGTTTACATGGATTTCTCAGATTTTAAGTGATATTTAGTGTGGTACACGGTTAAGTCTACTGTATGTCATTGTGTACATACATGTTCCTATTCCTGGTTTCAGTCAAATATACTCTAGTTGTTTTAACACTCTAAATTGTGACTTTTCAAATGATAATATATCTGCATTGATAATTCATGTCTGATCTGTTTCACGTTTTCAGTTTCTTTAAAGAAAGACCTGTTGGCACAAAACAAAATCACAGTTTTCACTAAACTGTTCTTTCGTAATGAAATACATTTAGGCCAGATCAATTTTATTTCTTGTTTTACAGATTTTTGTCCTCAGAAAACCTAAAGGCAAGAGGGAAAAAATAAATGAAAAATATCACCAAAGCAAAAACCTACATGAGTAGTATATTTTTGTTAACTCTTTTAGTTTGTTTATAATTTTTAATTTTTGAGCGGGGAAAATTAATTTTTGTTTTCTTATTCTTTAAAAAATATAGTCGGCGGTTCCGTAAAACAAGATATAAAATTGGTCTGGCCTTAGTTATGTCACAGAAATGGGTGGTAAACATGTAGATTACGTTATTCCACATCCATATATAATCAAAGGAAAAGTTTTTGTCATATCAAACAAAATCAGTGTTAAACTTTTGCTGTCATGAATGATTTCATGGAAAGACAAGTGTTTCAATGTAGGGCAACTGTTCCATAGGCTTGTTCCCACTTCCCCTATATCCCATTTTGCCTACACCCTTATCAAAACAAATTTACACTTGAGCCTAAGGCTCGCATAATACTATTTTATTTCTAATATATGATATTAATGATATGGAAACACACTCGGTTAATAATCTCTCTTTATTAACTTTAGTACACAGCACATATGTGTACGTGATATTTATGCCACAATGACAACACATGAATGTCTGATATACATGTAGTATAGTAATTTGAAAGAATCAGATGATCTTTAAGTTTTTGCAGTACAATATTTACAGTTTATACTATTTTGTCCTTTTGAAACCTGATGCTTGAGAAAATTGACAATTTTCTTTCTTGGTTTCTGGAGCACTGATAAACCACATCTCATTTTCTCAATTTCAGATTGCCAGGTTTCTGGTTGTCTCCTAATTGTTATTTTCTTCCTCGGCCTACCTTTAGAATACAGCACCACAAACTTTAAAAATACGTCATAATTCCCTTTTACGTAATGTAATGTGATTTTGTTCGAAAGCACGTTCTCGAAACAATGCCCTATGACGCCTGCATGGCAACACGGTTGTCTGGCTCAGCGAGTGCGTATAAGCTCTGCTCACTGGTGTTTCATCTCTACGAGCTATGTCATTGCATAAGCCCAACGATGTTGAGAGTTTCCAGTAGTTGTATACCGGCGGATGCGCAATATTTTACAAGCACCAGTTTGAAATATTTTTCTTTTTTCACTAATACGCTCATATTTATTTGTATTGCGGGGTGCTGAAGTGTTATGTTTTGTGTATTTTGTAATTTTTTAAATTTACATATGTATTTTTGTCATTCAGTAATTTGCACCATTACACAGAAAAGTGTTTTATTAGTATTTTATTTTTCGAAGCGGTAATAATGCATTACACTAGACACGTCAGTCGTGTTTCGTGCCGGTTCGGTCAATGCATTCTATTTATTAGGATTAATTCAAGGGATTGGGGTGAGGGCTAGGGCTAGGGCTAGGGTTAGGGTCAGGGTTTATGGTTTAGGGGTTGGGGTTGGGATTGGGGACCTAATCCAATTTAGTCATGTCCGGTGGTTCGGTCAATGCATTCTATTTATTAGGATTAATTCAAGGGATTGGGGTTAGGGCTTGGGCTAGGGCTAGGGCTAGGGCTAGGGCTAGGGCTAGGGCTAGGGCTAGGGCTAGGGCTAGGGTCAGGGTTTAGGGATTAGGGTTAGGGTTAGAGTTAGAGTTAGGGACCTAATCCAATATAGCAGGTACATGTCCGGTGTAATACATGAGTACCATTTGTTGTTTTTCCTTTTTTGCATTTTAATACTTTTTTTTTCACACAAAAACGGGAAACCAAAAACGTCGAAAGTACATTATGAAATGGGTTAATGTAGAAATTTTGGGCTAATGGAAATTGGCCTGGAATTTGCACTCAAGCCTCTTTCACGCGCAACATAAATTTTGTAAAGTAATGATTCGAAGGCTAACTCACCCTCGTGCCGTCACTGCACATGCTCATGTCTCCCTCGTTCCTTAGTGCGATCCACATTATCCTTACAGTGTTCCCTACATCACTTTTCTGTGACAAAATCACCAATTTATATAAAAGAGCGTCATTCATGCATGCACCGTGAAATTTACGTATGACGCCTGATGTCAACAACCCTTTTCAGTTTGAGGCATATCGGCTCATTCCACGCCACACGTTAATTTGTAGATTACGGAATGGGACGAGTGTGCCAAATGGCATCGGATCCATTCGGCCCAAGTCTACCCGTAGCCTTTGTAATTGTCCGTGACCTATTCGACTCTTTCCGTTCATTTCCGTGACATCACAGGAATGACTCGATAAATTTGCACATTGTGCAACAGTGTGGGACGTAGCTCAGTCAGTTAGCTGTCGAGCTAACAATCCGAAAGTCGCGGGTTCGCGTCCGACGGGTTCTCACAAACTGGTTGCTTGTCTTAATGACACGTGACCTACGGCAGCGATCGACCTCACGAGAAGTTGTGGTGCTGTATTCTAAAGGTTGAGCACTGATAAACCACATCTCATTTTCTCAATTTCAGATTGCCAGGTTTCTGGTTGTCTCCTAATTGTTATATTCTTCCTCTTCTTCCTCTTCTTCCTCTTCTTCCTCCTTGCTGTCTTTTCTAGGAATAATGTCCTTGAAAAGTTCCATCTTCTGTCCTGGATCCTGGGAAAGCAAGAAGTAAGATTTACTTTGGCAAGCAAAATCTGAAGGGATCGAAAACTATTTGACAAACTGGTGTACAAGCAAGTCTTTGAATGGCATTAAGAATTATCACACACAATTATGAGAAGTTATGGATGTCAGCTGCTTCATTATGAGGAACATATCATCTTGGAATGTATGCTTTCTCCTCCAGATGAATTAGGGGCGTTTAGGTGGCCTAGTGGTTAAAGTGTTGGCTTGTCATGTCATAGACTCGGGTTTGATTCCCCTCATTGGTACAATATGTGAAGCCCATTTCTGGTGTACTGCTAAATAATTCATGTCTGATCTGTTTCATGTTTACAGTTTCTTTAAAGAAAGACCTGTTGGCACGAAACAAAATCACAGTTTTCACTAAACTGTTCTTTCGTAATGAAAGGCCAGACCAATTATATTTCTTGTTTTACAGATTTTTGTCCTCTTGCTTTATGGATCCATCCTTCGTATTTTTTAAAGAATAAGAAAAAAAAATTTTCCTAGTTCAAAAATTAAAATCCTAATGTTAATGTGATATAAGTGAAATACTCTTAAAATCAGTGTGAAACCTAAACCTCACTCAACTTACTTTTGTTGATGTAAACAAACCAAAAGAGTTAACATGGAAACTCATGTGGGTTTTTGCCTTGACTGGTGATCTTTTTCATTTATTTTTTCCCTCCTGCCATTAGGTTTTCTGAGGACAAAAATCTGTAAAACATGACATAAAATTGGTCTGGCCTAAATGTATTTTGTTACGAAAGAACAGTCTAGTGAAAACTGGTCTTGTCAGAAATTATGCAAAATACACACTTATGCACCATGAAAGATTTTATTAAACAGAAGTATATGCCTGACATGGAGACAAATTGGTTTGTGGTAATAGTAGTACTGATATGCTTGCAATGTTATCAATGCTTATAACTAATCATATTGTATTAGAGATCAATTATGTTATATCTTGGAATCAGAATGGGTGGTAAACATGTAGATTATATTATTCCACATCCATATATACTCAAAGGAAATAGTTATTGGGACACATGTCAAACATGGAAATTATATTATTCCACATCCATATATACTCAAGGAAATAGTTATTGGGACACATGTCAAACATGTAAATTATATTATTCCACATCCATATATACTCAAGGAAATAGTTATTGGGACACATGTCAAACATGGAAATTATATTATTCCACATCCATATATACTCAAGGAAATAGTTATTGGGACACATGTCAAACAAAATCAGTGTTAAACTTTTGCTGTCATGAATGATATGTTATTTCATGGAAAGACAAGTGTTTCAATGTAGAGCAACTGTTCTATAAAAACGAGCCACATGCCGAAGAAGGGTGGGGAAGATACTGCCGTCTGGCGTTATCATGTTGAATCGTCATTCCAGGGCTGTTGCCTAATCTTGTCTCGGTATCTCACGTCATTCAAGCACTTGCCCGTCAATCACAATCATTGGTGTCCTTTCTGCTGCTGTTGGTGTAATGGTTCAGTCACTAGGCTCCCAAAACAAAGTTTGATCAGCTGACACGCAGGTTTAGTCCACTAATGTACACGTTTAATTGATCCGTTGACATGGAAATAAGTGCTTAGATGTGATATCATTCTGCCATATGCCTATATATTGTCTCAGATTCTGTACTTTTCCTTATGTTCGCTGCATTCAGTGTCAGTTAAAGAGAGATAACTCTTGTCAGATGGCTGTCAGTTTCAGCCCTGTGATTAATTAGATTTACATTAAGGAAAACCAAGTTCTATGGATGAAGTGATCATTTGCTTGATAGCGGTGTTAGTACCTACACCGAAACATCTCACTCATTGCAATAAAGTAGTTGACTATCCATAGAACTTGGTCATCTTTATATTCTAATGTGCCTCTCAAAGAAGTTACATTTACATTGTTCATTGTAGTTCATGCTTTTGGTTGAGTTGCACTGGTCACTTGTATAATTGCATTTACTTCCCAAGGAGTGTCAAAAATTAAGCCACGTTCACCAAGCAGACTAATTTCACCTCTACAGATTGTTGGAGAATCCAAGGTACAGTCAAGGTAGCATCCGTTCTGTTCTCCCATATTATCAAAAGACAGGACATTTTAGCCGATCTGCTCAGGATCATTAGAACAACACTTTAGGATTTCCTTCTGTGATGTGGCTGAAATGTCATCTTAATTAACTGACTTGGGGGTGCTAGGGTAGCCTAGTGGCAAGTGCATTCTCTTGTTATGCCAAAGATTCGGGTTTAATTCCCCACATGGGTACTATGTGTGAAGCCAATTTCCGGTGCCCCCCAGCCGTGGTATTTTCGGAATATTGCTAAAAAGGGCGTAAAACTAAACTCATTTACTCATTCAATTGACTTGGAATGGAGGACATCCTTATTCTACTCAATTACATTTTGTCTAAATATGTAGAAGGTGATCTCTGCATTGATAAACCACTTCTCTAGTAGCTGATGATGTGCTAGGAAAGCTCGGATATTGTTTGGTGCATCTGACTACCAAACATACTGAGGTGATCTGCATCCAACCTGTAGCATTATATATATATTGAGTTGCCCCCCTTACCTGAGACAGGATATGACTTGCCTCTGTAATAACCGTGCCCATAATGTCAAGGAATAAAGTGGACATTGTCCATAGGACCTGCATTTATCGACTCTTGTCATTTCTGTTGCGATATAAGTGTAATACTGATCAGAGTCAGGGGGCAATGGTACCAGTTGTGTTACCCCTGGATACGCCAGAAACCTATGTTTGTTGAGTATCATTCTGATTTGACCTGATTGTGGTGTTTGCTTTATCAGCATCATAAGCCCATAGTGTCCGAGTTAAAAACTGAGATGCATAACTTGAATATTGTTTAAAAGATGCATTCGATGTACCTCACTCACTCACTCACCCACCGCGTCACACCAACAAATCCATTTCTACATGTTTCTCGATTGTTTTCATTTATTCTATAACACTCACTCACTCATTTCTATAACACCCACCCACCCACTCCCTCAGTGAAGTCTTGCTCTGCAATTCCTGAAATTTGTTTGTGTTAATACACAAGATTTTGTATAATATCAAGGATACATTGTATTATGAACAGTACATTGACTGTACATTGACTGTACATTGACTGTACATTGACTGTACATTGACTGTACATTGAATCACACAGTGACTGTACATTGAATCCAGCCGCGGAAGGCTTGCATTTCCATACCAGCCGCTCCACTCTGTCACACACAGCCGCAGGTTCCACTTGTCCACACACACCAGCCGCAGGTTCCACTTGTCCACAC